TTAATGCGAAATCACTGCATTTGTAATACATGATCCGCACGCGGAGCCTGTATTAGAAACGGCACTGTATTGGAATTAGAAGAGGCGCCGCAAAATCTGGGGACACATCATGGCCCTGTCCATTATATCCCCCCACCTGGTCATCCCCCCCTCTCTTGGCCGCCCCCGACTGGCGTTGCTATTTTTGCACACGTTGCAGCTTCGGGGGACCTAAGGTGTCCCATCGCGCCACTATTCCTGTCGAATCCTGGTCAAAAAACAAGTCCGCACCGAATCCACGTCGACTACATGCCGAATCTGCGTGGGATCCGTGTCGAATCCGAGTCGCGTACAGGAACAAAAACAATAATTTACAGGACAAGCGAGGTCCCCGGAAGATGCATCGTAGTCGCCCGCTGTCTGACTAATTACCAGACCACCCCAACCCAAACCGAATACCCGAATTTCGAGTCTAGGGGGATACGGGCTTCATATATGTTTTTGCCATGTTCCCCTACCCCCCTCGCACTGGAAATGGAGGGCAAATCGGGTTGGGTTGGGGTGGTTTGGTGGGCGGTGACTCTCGGGCTCTCTGGAGCCATCGGAGCGGCCAGACTCGAAGAACGCCCCAGAGACCGGTCGTGGGCTAACCCGATGGTGCAGCCCGGTGGCAATGTCGGATCTCGTGGGGAGCCCTCGATGGCCTCCCGCTGTTCGGCGGGGGGCGCGGGGCCAGGCAAGCAACGGGGGCTGTCTATCTGCAAGGCGAAAACATGGTCGGACACACACACACACATACACACAGGCACACGCAAAGACACAGACACACACGCATAGATATACATACGTATATACATATACACAAACATGGTAGCCAACGTTGACACCCAACCATGATTTCTTCCAATCTATGCGGTCGCATGCAGGTGGTGCAATGAATGTGATACAATCTACGTGGTGCAATTTATGTGATGCAATCTATGTGGTGCAAACCAGCGCACAGCAATGCAAATCAATCCGATGCGATGCAAAGCGATGCAAACCAATACAAAGCAAGGCAGAACAATGCAAAATTATACAACTTATGCATATCAATGCAACGCAATGGGCAACAATGCAACGCAAGGCAACGCAAAAAGCCGCGTCGGTCGGAGAGACTGGTGTGTAAGTTTCCTGGGCCCCCCGGGGAACCCAAAAACCTCCGAATTGGGTTTTTCTTTTGGGGTTTTCCCCTCTGGATCCTGGGGGGCGGGGGGGGAGAGGGAAGCTTGGGTTTATTTTGGGGTGGGTCCGGGGCCCGACACTTATAAATCCGACAAAAACCCAACAAACCCTTGATCAAAACAACAAAAAAACATGTTTTCTTGCGGTGATTTGTCGGGCCCACCTGGAAACCCCAAACTCGTTGTTTTGTTTCCCCCTAATTTTGTTGGGGAGGGAAAGTCGAAACAACAAAAAACAAATAAACACAACTCGGGGGGGGATCGTTTTTTCTTTCCGGGGGGGGACCCCGGAAAAAAAAAACAGGGTTGATTTTCAAAACTTGTCCCACAATTTCCTCGGGGGGACCCCCCTAACAAGAACCTCTACCCGGGTCTTTTTTGTGTTTCGGGAGTTTTCCCCGGGGGGGACCCCCCGAAGAAACTCCAAACTCTGATGTTCTCAATGTTTCTTTCCGGAGTTCTGGGGCCCGACAGTAGACGCAAAAACAACAACAACAACAACAACAATAATTGTTCTGAAAACACCCCGAGAAATCTCCGAATAACTCCCCAACTCTTGGAGAAATCTTCGAGATGTCTACATGTCCCAAAATCTTCGAATCACTCCCCAAATCTTTGAATAACTCCCCAACTCTTCGAAATCTTCTGAAAACACCCCGATAAATCTTCGAGAAGCCTAGAATTGTTTCCTGAATTTTCTGGGTGGCTTCCCGCGGGGGGAAGCCCTTGAAACAAAACCCAACTCTGCGTTTTGTCCTGGAGCTTTTCGGTGGTTTTCCCGGGGGGCAGCCGGGCAGCTCCCGAAACGCCCTCCAATTTAGGTTTGTGTTAGGTTGTTTTTTTCCCCAAGGGGTGGGGAGCCCGAAGAATCCCCCAACTCGAGGGCTTTCGGATCCCCCGGGTGGTTTTTCAGAGGTTCGGGGGCCCCACAATTCAAAACAAACTTATCTCAGAAAACCTTCCGGGACCCCCCCCAACTCGTTTCTTTTAGAGGGGGGGGGCCAAACGTTTGTCTGTTTCTCCCCCCCGAGGGCGGGGGCGCCCGGAAAAAAAATCATCTCGGGGATTGTTCGTTGGGTGTTCGGACATATTTCAAAAAATAGCCGCGGACTCCCACAAACAAAACATTGTTTGTGTTCCGGCGCTGTTTCTGTGGCTTTTCGGCGTTTTTTTTTTTTTTTTTTTTTTTTTTTTTTTTTTTTTTTTTTGTTGTTTTTTTTTTTTTTTTTTTTTATAAAAAAAAAATGTTTGTGTCCGGGGGGAAACCCAACTGGGTTATGATGTTTTGCTTTGTTTCCAAAGGTTCTGGGCCCCGCACTGGAAAACAAAATCTTGTCGGATCCCCCCCGGTGACCCCCCTGGCGACCACAATTAAAAACAATAGTTTTGAACATATCCTGGGAAACTTTCCAAGTCGGATCTTTTCCGCAGGTTTCTCTGGCCCGCCAAGAGAAACAATGCTATGTCTGAAGACACTCCCGGACGCCCCCACAAAAAACTCCCAAGTCGACGTTTGTCTCATTTTTTAATTTAAGTCCCGGGGAGGGGAACCTCCGAAAAACTCCCCACTCCGAGGTATCTCTGGTGTTTTTGTTCGAGGTTCTGCCCCCCCCAAACAAAAACAATAATATGTCTGAAAACCGTCCGGGAAACATGCGAAACCCTAGAAACTCCGGAGTGTTTCGGGTGTTTTTGTCGGGGGCAATTGTTTCAACAATTGTTTCCAGGGACCCCCCGGACCACTACCGAAACACTCCCAGCTCGCTTGTTTATTCGGGAATTCTGGGGGCCCGCAATTAAAAGCAAAACTGCTTCTAATAAAATAGCTGGGGCGCCCCCCGACAAAAAACACCTTCCAACCCTGATACATGTTTGCGTATTTTGTCAAAAATCTGGGGCCCAATAGTTAAACGCACGACTATTTCAGAAATCTTCCCAGACAATCCGCCGGCCCCTTGTGGGTCTCTAGGCGTGTGAGATGGTTCCCTCCCCATAACCCCACAAGGGACCCCAGACCGGAGATTTGACCCCACCCCCCGGCCCCGGGCGACCCCGGACCGAACGCGTCACGGGGGAGCGGAGGGTTCCAAAACTGGCCATGAATGCACCAGAGCGCTCCCCAGACGGTCCCAGGGGGCCACGATTCGCCGAAATATGGCCCTGGACGCCCACGATGGCCTCCAGGCGGCCTCCGAAGCTGCCAAGACGCCCCAGAAGGCCAAGAACAGCCCAAGAGGCCCTGAGGGACCCGCAAAAGAACTTCAAAGGCCTCCCAAAAGCCCCCAGGAAGCCCCAACGAGGCCCCAAAACTTGGCCCAAGCTGCCTCGAGGCGGCCAGATCTGGCCTGCAGACAGGCCAAGATGCCACCAAGAGGCGACAAAAGAGCACCAAGAGGTACGATAACAGCAACAAAGCAACAGGAACGATGTCGAGCGCCGTGTCACGATTCGGACAAGCCTCGTGAAATGTAGTCTTGGAGGCGCAGTACCTTATATAGGGGTCGGCGGATGTGGCGTAAGCCTATAGATCTTAAAGAACCACCCAACTCGGAAGTTGTTCGCGTTTGTTTCGACAGCTCTTGATAATAGGGGCAAACAAACCTACCTCGCTTTTGACCACCCTCGGTTCCAAGAGATACAAGCGACGCCAAACTACGGCCTGTACTGGTCAGGCCGCTTGTCGAGGAGGCGCGTGGTATGATTTGGTTTTGCCTGGAAGCGAAAGCGGGGGAGGTAATTCACGCTCTGAGATAAGTTGGTAAATCCGAGGCCCGAACTCTTGGCGCCTCTAGCCCTGGCAAGACATTTGCGAACAGGAGCGCGCCGGGACCTCAGAAACCCATCTTCCCAAGATAGACGCCGAAATACTTGGCGGACTCGACGACTTTGAACTCCGAGGGGGGGGGCAGCGGCGACCCTGGCAGACAGCTAACTATCGGGCGTCGGCCTCTGTAGAAGGATGGTGAATGTCTTAGTCGCGTTAAGATCAATACCTGCAGCGGCGGCCGCGCATTGGAAGACACGGCGCAGTAGGGCGAGCAAGCGGCGAACGCATTGCGCGGCCATGCCTATGTCGCCGGCGCAGGCAGCCAGCAAGGATGGCGAACGTGAAAACCTCGACTCTAGCATGAAGGATTGGATCCATACATGATGCAAATAATGATGATGCTCGTGGACAGCCTTATTTGACGCCGCGGCGGCCCCGCCGCCCATCCTCTTGAGGCCGACGGAAGTTGACCGAGACCCAACAATCACGATGAAAGGCAGCGGCGGCACCGCGTACTTTCCGAGGGAAGTCCATCTCTTTCAGAACGAACCGGATCACGGTCACGTGCCTTGCGCGCTGTAAACCGTCCTGGAAGAACCATTCAGCTGCCCGAGATTCCAGAGCCAGAGCATTGTTGGTGAAATGCCGTCCAGGGGAAAATCGCGCGTATGTCATGACGGGATTCCGGGAAACGTGAATCGCAGGTCGGTTGACGGCGCGGCTTATCGGTTCGTCGTCAGAGTTGCCCAGAGCGGTCGGGCGCGCCCGAGCTGGTGCGCGAAAGACTTCGTCGACAACACCGCTGGGGCAATCTTCTTTCGGAAGGAAAAAAACAACCGCGCACTTTGTTAAACGTTGCCTGGCAGAGGGCCAGGGGCCAACAGTTTTTGACGCAAGAAACAATGGCTCCATCGTGCGAGCGCCTCCTCGCGGCCAAGCAGAGTCGGGCGCGCCGTCGGGCCAAGGGCAAGAATCTTTTAGCTTCCGCAGCAGAGTCGCATACTTCATCGAATTCAATTCCCCCGAATACGAGAGGCGGCGCTCTGTGGACGAACGGCTGCAAATCACGATGGCGTTGGGCTTCGCTCAAAGCGCAAGCGCGCGCTCGGCCCCGACGAGCAGCAAGCTGGCGCGCCACTTCGCGAGGGTCGGTGACATGCAAACCAGACGGGCCAGAAACAACTGGCAGAGTGGCCCGACGCCGCCGAGATCCCCATGCACAGAGGTAAGACGTCAGTTTAGATTTCAAAGTATGCTTTCGGAAGGTGGGGAGATTGGCAGCTTCGGCATCGCTGAGCGACTCTTCCAGCTGGGCGGTCTTCAATATGCTGCGGTATTCGTGGAACCCGAGCAGGTCGGTCCACGCGTGCCAGACTGGCTGCAAGTAGAAGCGCCGAGCTCGGGCGAGGCATGGAGAGCGCGCTGAGGAAATGCGAGGCGACCTTGCCGAAGACTACGCATGACAGACAGAGGCCAGTGATTTTTTTCGTCGCGCGATAGGGCGCCTCCAGAGCGGGCGTGCTCGATGCCGGCTTTGGCGGCGGCCTCGATGTCCTCGACTTCCCCGAGAGCTCCACTGGGGTCGGCGCCCAGGGCCCCGGCCTCTCCCAAAGACCTCTGAAGGAGAATGGGGCACCGCGGGCGCGCGGTGACCAAGGGCGGGGCCCGAGAGCCGCCGGGCCGAGGAACGCAGCAAATGGACAACCGGCGCATGATCCGAGAGCGGCCAGTTGCCGTCGGAGGCCCAGGAGGCCGTGCTACTTGGCCTACAGCAGCAGATTCTATCTGGCCGCAACTGCCCATCGCGCGATGGGTGAAGAGGCCCCGCTCAACATCGCACGTCTACGGGAGCAGCTCGCTCTGGAAAGTTGAGGGACTGCCGGCGCCATATCTGGCCCTCCCGTCGCGCGACTAGACCCGCCCCCTCCAGCGTGCAAAATAAAGTCGCACAGCAGGGGGGGTGCGCGAACATCGGCTGGTAGCATGTGCTGCTGCATCTGCCGAAGCTCGCCCTTCGTGCGAGAAATTGCTCGTTCGGGATTAGTGCGCGTGTCAATGGCCTGCGCGCCGCCGTGCTTGCCGCGGAGGGCGAGAGAGCGAGTGCGACCAGGGAAGAGGATGCGATGACAGGAAACTTAAAACTGCGAGCGGAGACGCGGGCGAACTACAATCGGGCTGCCACTTCCCGAGCGACCCTCGAAGAACGCTCCCCCTACCATCGCGCAGCGGATCTCCTTTTTAAATGAATCCAGATCATGTTTGGGCCATCGAGCTTCATGAATGAAGGTAACATCGCGTTTCGTGACGAGCTGGCACGCGGCTTTCAATTATTCCCTCAACATAACGCGGCCGGTGAAAAGACCCCCGAACAACGAACGAACGTTCCATGCGTGGGGAAATAGCTGCCGGGATAAATAGGCTCGGCAGGCCACTGGCGAGGACGGCCGCCGCGGCCGAGCGAGGAAGACGCAGAGCTGGAACTGGATCAGCTGCTGTTGGAGGCCGAACAGGAAGAGGGGGAAATAGAGCATGCAGAAGCCGAGTTCGACAATCGAGGTCAAACGCCGCCGCGTCGTGCGGCTCGCAAGGAGGCGCCCGCGCATGCGACCATCATCATCAAACGCCGGCTCATGAACGGACGTGTTCGGCGAAGGACACCCCTATTCGATTGCGCTCTTGGCCATCGCAGCCGTCTGCTCTTTGCCGAAATCCAAGCTCTCGAAGGCTGCGAAGTTGGGCTCAATGGTGGCAGACATATCAGGGTTCTCAATCAACGAACACAGGATAGTGACTTCGTCGTTCTTCGTGAAGAACAAATACCCTTGTGCCCACTCGCTCCCAGAAAGGTCCTGTCCGATCCGTTTGGCGGCAAAATGTGCGATATACCCTGCCAAACACGGCCACGAATGATATTGCGACGGCGAACATCGGGGGTGGCGTCGCGCCTCGCCCAGAGCTTAATGGGACCGCAAGTCGACTCGAACGAGAGGCCAGTGGTCTTCGCAAACTCTCGGAAGGCCTTGGCGTCGGTGGCGCTGCTGAACAAACCCTGAAGGTTTTGTTTAGATTGTGAGCCTTCACAGCAGTGGGTGGCTTGATGTGCGAAGGAAGGTGCGGGATCACTTGCGTTGGTTCATGGCACGAGCGAAAATCGGGGATTTGAACCCACCAACTCAAATCTTACACGGACCCGCGCAATCATCATCGATGCCTCCACCTGTGAATTTGCCATTGCTCGAGGCAGAACTCTTACACTTGGACTAGCGGGCGAAGTGTGGAGAGAAAACTGCGAATGCTAGCTGAATCGGAGGAGCGTTGTACCTCAAGGATCCTGGCCTCGACCTACGCGAGCAGGGCCTTCGTCTTGGCCTCATCAACGCCAACATTGATTTGCCGCTCTATGGTCGTCATGCGATCGCACAATTCGACGTAGTTCTTTTCGTGTGTGTTGATCAACTGTTGCATGGCGCAGAGGTCAATGTGGCCATGTTGGACTCCATTACACTGAGAATTGTTGGGATTTGTTTATCACATTTTCCTATGCGAGGCCTCACTTGGCGAGCGTTCCCGACACAATCGATGCCTTTCCCCAAACCCTTGGCGTCACCAGCGACTCCCGTGAACGACGTAGCTCCAGTCGGTGCGGCGGTGCAAGTGGTGGTCGCGTCAACGATTCACCACTCCGAGGAAGCAACCTCCATGTCGGATGCGGGAGACCTAGAGGCATCCCATATCGGGTCCGAATAGATGGGGTCGGGGGATCGCGGCGCATCGCCGATGCATCGCCGATGCATCGGCGACGTCGGCGATGCATCGTCGACGCCAGCGTGGAAAAACTGTGGCTCTACATCGGTTTGCATCCCCAATGCATCGGCAACTTGGTGCGGCCCACCGACCACATCTACTCAGACCTCATGTGTGAGGCCCAGATCATCTTCCATCGAAGACGAAACCAGAATTGAGACAAATTCAGGCCGCTCGAACTGGAAATATATCAGGATCGGCGGTTTTGGAAGACGTATCGGGCGCCGCGGCCGTTTCAAAGCGTTACGCTTTGAGAGCGTTCCGGAACGGTCTGGAACGGACTTATCTCGATTTTGGGCCCGCCCGACCATGTCCCTCAGAAAAAAATAGATTTCCCCGGAGTCCTGATCAGGACGCCCCGGAGTCCTGGTGAGGACGCCCCCGCCCTGAGGCCCCACAGGACGCGCCGAACGCGGGCGCCAGGAAGAAGGGGGGGGTTCGTGCAGCGTGGCCCCTGGGCCGTGTGCGCGAACGAGGGTTGGGGGGCAGGGGGCGTGATGAATGAGGAGGAGAGGGGTCATGGGTTATGTTGATCCCATCGTGCTGAAAAACCAAATCCCAAACAATTTTGAACACCCAGAAAAGTATCGGAACAGTGTCGAACGAGTATCACCTCCAAGAGCCCGACACGTGAAAATCCTCCAGATTCGGTGCTTTCTTGGTGCTCGAATTTCTGATGATTTAGGAAAGAGTTAGTTGGAACATCATAAGCCATGGGACAAACAAACAGAGGCCCGGTCAAACCACACAGGCTGGCCCGTCAACGGGCGAGGCTACATCGCAGTGGTGGCCTGAATGATCACGTGCGCAACGGAGAGCAAACGTTGTGCCTCCGAGGGGGGGGAGGTAATGGGATCTGGGGTCATTCATGGCCTCGACCATGATATCCACCCTCCTGGACGCCCTTGGAGCTCTGAACTCCTAATGACGAACCACCCTTAATGGCTCACCGGGCCGCAGAAGCCTCAAGGTGGCTCAAGCTAGCTCCATTGTGGCACCTTGTGCCCCAAGATGCTCCGCAAGACTGCCCAAATTGCATCAAGGTAGCTAGCTCCACGATGGCCACAGGGCTTCTGAAAGGAAGCCTCCGGACAGGCCAGAATCATTCAAAATCCAATTATTTGCAATGATTTGGGCGATCTTGCCTGGGCTCATTCGGATGCGGCTCAACGGCCCAAAGATGGCCCAAATTTGGGCCCATGGCCAGGGTGGCCCAAGAGGGCTCTAGGGGAGCCCAGCAGACGCCCAATTTCTGCTTCCGCGGGGTCCAGGAGAGCCCCGAGAATGCCCAGTCAAGCCTCCCGGAGACTCCAGAACAGCCCCAAAAGGTGAACAAAAACAGCCTCCGATGCCTTTCTGGAAACCCGAAAAATTGGCAACCCGCTTCAGAAACATTGAGAAGTAGCGGGGCACCGGACACAGCTGAGAGAAGAGCTCACGACCCCAGTGAAGGCCCCAGACGGTTCCTCGGCTCAAACAGGCCCCACGAGGACCCCAAGAGAGAATCCCAAGACTGCCAGTGAGGGCTCCAGGAGTGTCTCGCTCTGGGTTTGTACATTTATGTATGTGCGACCACCTTACACATATCAAAATGATTCGCAATAACGTCCGTTGCCTGGGTGGCCCTCCCTTCCTCGGGTAACGTCACGCTTTGCGCCAGCGCCGTCAGCGTATGGCCACCAGTCGTCAACACGAGCCTCGGCTACGAAGAGGTTCCTCGACCTAGATCTCAGGAACAGCGCGAAAACCAGAGCCCTCCTGAACCAGACGCGGTACCACTGTCAGCGTCTTGGCTGCACTCGGTCCCTCCCCATCGCCCCTTGCCCCCCCAACCCTCAACAAAACCCATTACCGCCAGAGGATATATAAACAAACAACCTCCAATCCCCCAACTGCTTCAGACCAGCCGGGCTCTCACATGGCCCAACGCCCTGATTGGGATGTGTGTTGGGGTTCGTTCCTAGCTTTCTGTCCCTTACCTCCTTCTCCTGCCCCCTCCTCCGCCTCCTCGTCCTCCTCCCCTGTCTCCGCGTCGTACTGCTATTCCTTCTCCTCCTCCTCCGCCTCCGCCTCCTCCTCCCTCCTCCCCAACATTGACCTGAGTGGGGCACCCCAACAAGCGAAAACATCGTGACGAGTCCCGACTTCCGGAGGCCGGCGGGACGGTGTACCATCGAGGTGCGGCCACAAGCACGCCGAGCAGGAACACATAGCCCCTTCGCAGACGGCCCAAGGCCCGGTGCAGATGCCCAGAGCGAAGGACGACGCAGGGTGGCGGGCCGGGCAAAGAAGATCAGAAGGGTACCCCTCCCTAGCCTGGGACTCTTCTCAGCCCTCGTGCCAGCTGTACGCCTCAAGGATCCGCCCGCCCACCAGGCTCAGGGGCCTGTTAAACTCACCCAACTTTCGGTCGGCCATGCCCTCCTACAGCGGATTTTGGAAGAAAAATGCAAGATAATGCAGCAATTCTCAAACATAGCCAAAAGAGCACGAAGAATCGTCCCACAACAATTTGTTTACTATATTCTTGAATTTTTCTCGTGTGGAAGGACATGCCCGCCTTAAAACTAACTTCGAGAGCTGATTTCGAGATTTCGGCCACCCTTCCCCCCCAAGTAGGCTTTGCCTTTCCGCCGCGCCCGCTGCGTCCAATCACGCCTGGGGGCTCCATGGCGGCTCCGAGGCGGTGCCCAAGACGAATCCCAATGCCATACAATTCCCGACACACTTTCGAAACCGATGCCCGTTCCGTTCTGCCCTGCTCTTGGGCCCCTTCTTGGGCCCCATGGTCAACTCCTCGGGCCCCAGAGGAAGCCCTCTTCGCCCCAACTTCGCCGACGAGCTGGAGCCCTCAAGAGCATCGCAGACCCTGTGGGCTTTCAGTGCTTTCGCCTGGGCAGGAGTCGCCAGGGGCCTTCTGCCGTATTTGCCAGCAGATGCTCGGGCTCGTCTGTGGCATTCTTCAATCGATATAGCTATATATATATGTATACATCCATACAATTAGCTATATATATACAGCTATTCCCTCAGTGATTACGATGAGGGAATCTTGCTACTTCGACGGGGACGGGTCGGGAACGAAGGCCGCGAGGTCTCGCTCCTGCTCTGGTGCATTATGAGCCAGGTGGGTGGCACTCGAAAGGCGTTCCGAAAATTGCACGTGATCGTTCGTGCCTCGACGCCATATGGATCGTGCTGAAATCACTGTGATCATGTTCGGCTGCTGCACCATGCTGAATTGACGGTCGCGGATCCTCGCCCTTTCGTGCCCTGGTGCGGTGTGGGTTGTTTGTGTTCTCGGGGATGGACAGACCCCCCTTTAGCAAAACGTGGTTTAGTGAAAACGACCTGAGGCCCAAACCTGGCGGGCGCAAGCCTGGAAAATGACGGCCAATGCGCCCTCTCGAGAACCGAAAACGGACAATTCACTAATCGACGTGTCACTGATGGGGGTTCTGTCCAGCCCCGATGTTCTATGGCTGATGCACTATGGCGCCTTGATTGTCGCGATTTCCTCACTCTTGCTCTGGTGCTCCACGGGCGGTGCTCAGATCATCGTCGCGAGTTCTCGTTCCTGCTCTGCCTGTTGGCTGGTGGCTTTTGGTGTCTTACGGTCTGTGCTCTATGGCTATTGTCCTGTAATGCCGTGGTGGATGCGATATCTCGGGATTGCCCTTATGCCATACTCGCCATCGCTCGGACGTCCATTCCCTGTGCTTTTTCGGTTTCAAGCGTGGATTTTTCGCCAAATGATCAAGGATGCTCCTCGATGGTCCTCGCCGAAAGAAAAATGCACACGTCCGAGCGATGCCAAGCTGTAATGCCGTGGTGGATGCGATATCTCGGGATTGCCCTCATGCCATATGGGTAGTGCTCCACGGCTGGTGCCCCATGGCGTCTTTGATGGACCCGACTTTCCTCGAGCAGTGCTTGCAATACGGAGTTCTTACTTCTATGGGAACGAACTTGAAATGAAGGTCGCGAGTGACCGCTCTTGCCCTGATGCCCATGGGTGTTGCTGACTGGCTGGTTCTCTATGGCGGGTGCCCACTGGTGCCGTAGTGATTGTGTTACGTAGTTGTGTGGATGCGGTGTGTCGTTCGTGCATTGGTGCCCTGTGATGTTGGTTGTGCTCTATGCCTGGTGCCCGACAGTATCCTTGATGGTGACAAGCTCTCGTTCGCGCCTTGGTGCCATATGGATTGGGTGGTGCTGAGCGGCTGTTGCATTAGCGATTGAAATGTGATGCCCTGTGGCCGCTTTGAAGTGGATTGTGCCGGTGCGAGTTCTCTGTCTTGCCATGGTGACCCATGGGTGGTGCTGTATGGCTGGCACCCTAGATTTGGAGGGTGAAAGTGGGGGTCGGCCGCAGGGTCCCGGCAATGATGTCTTTATGGGCCATGAATGGGCGATGCATCCTCGATTGCTGTGGTCGGCGGGGGAACTAATGGAAGCCCCCCGCTTGCACCCATGCGCGATACTTGAAAGGAAGGGAAGCAAGGGGGCGGGGGGCTCGGGAAAGGCGACGAAGGCAACGTGCGCTGAGGGCGCAAAAAGAAAAGGCTGGAACACACGAAAGCGGTCATGTGAATGTCGAAATCTGCCCAGCCAATCTGACATGCGGAACAAAACGCCTCAGTGTTGGGGATCTTGAAGGCCAGGGCAAAATGTGAATTCACATTGTGGGGGAAACCAAAATGTGAATTCACATTTTGGGAAGAAGGAAAATGTGAATTCACATTTTGGAAAAAAGGAAAATGTGAATTCACATTTTGGAATTTTGTGTAGGATTCTTTATGAAAGGGGCCAGAATGTGAATTCACATTTTGGGAAAAAGGAAAATGTGAATTCACATTTTGGGAAAAAGGAAAATGTGAATTCACATTTTGGGAGAAAACTGGGCCCCAATCCAAATCTGTCTTGGGGGTCGAGAAATCATCGTTTGGGAACATACACGATCATCAATCGCACAATCAAGACATACTTGCACTCCACTTCGCTTCCCCACGCGCAATATGCAAGAACCCCCGCACGCATGAACGATAATGGATGGACGGCGCGCGTGCCCACGCGGGCAACGCGCGGGCACGAACGACTGGCCCTCAATGACCGCCAACATTGGATGCCAATCGTACCCGTTCACATACATGAACGATACATTGAGCATACATGGGCCATTCAGCCCCCATTGAAGACCCCCTGTTGCAGACCCCCTCTTTCACCCTCCAATAGATACTCGTTGGTCGTTACAAGTTCTCGTTCTTGCCCGGGCACCCGAAGGGTCGTGCTCAATGGCGGGTGGCCCATGAAACTGCGTTTGTTGGCGACTGCTGATTCTTACCCTGGTGCTCTTATGGCCCGTGCGTGATCGGTGGTTCTGTTCAGACATTTCGTGTCCGCCCCTGCGCCCAGTGGGCGGTGCACCGGCGCGCAATGGGGCCTCATTGTGGTGCGAGTTCTCGCGCCTGGCCGGGCGCCCTATGAGTGGTGCTCTACGGCTCATGCGCCCTGGTGCCTTTCACTGATTCTTAGTCTTGCTCTTGCCTTGGCACCACGGTGCTCCATCGTTGGAGCCCTGTCATGCTCTTCGTATTGGTCTTGCCTTTGCACCACGGTGCTCTATGGTTGGTGCCCTGTCATGCTCTTCTCGTTGTTGTCCTTGTGCCGTCTGGGTGGCCCCTGGTGGCTAACTTTCGTGTGCTGTCTGTTATGCGGTGGGGGTCTTCCGATTTCTCGCTCGTGCCTGAGTGCCCTATGGTTTGGTGCACTAAGGCGCATCACGCAGGTCGCGCCAGACTGCACACGCCTAAAGTACAAGAGCCTTTTGCTTGGCGTCGTCCACGTTGGCGATCATTCTACGCCGTGCTGGATCACTCAAACGCTGGCGTGCCCAACTTGTGCCTCAAAGCGAGGGCCAACCCAGCCCCAGCGCGGGCCACGAATGGATGCAGCTCGGTCGGGTCTCGGGCCCGACATGGCGATGCTCGCGCGTTGGGGCTCTCCGAGTCTAAAAAGCCCTCCTGGGCCCCCTTGGGCTGTCCCTCGGGCGCTTTTTGTTGATCTCTGGGGCCGTCTCTCGCGGGGCCGTCGTGGACTTCTCGTTCGACACGTGTTCGGCCCGTCTCGGGGCAACTTTCTGCTCGTCTTGGGAGACCTGCCAGGGGGGGGGTGGCGATCGCGAAGCGCCTTGAACAACTCAACAAGGCTCAAGACAGCAGCCAGAAGACGATACGCCAGGTTCGTGTCGTGCCAACTTCGGCGTTGGTTTCTGACACCGCGGGGATCTTTCAACCTGGAACGATCGGCTGTTTCCGAAGCGTCAGACTGTTCAACATCGACCGATTCTGGGTCGCCGGCGGCGTTCAACATTGAATGCCGGCGGCTGGGGCGCCGCTGGTCGACACGATGCGAATCTACCGTGACGGGGATGCAAAGACGACGAATCTGGCTTTGGGCGCGTCGGAAACATGGGCGCGCCGGGCGATATGGGCATTCGGCAGCCTGGCCTTCTCGGAAGACCTGGGCAGTCCACAGCGCAAGGGTCAGCCCGCCATAGCCATCTCGGGTGAGGGATGTCCTGGCCTCCTGACTCCAGCTGCACGCAACGAAAAACCTTGTCGGCGGCACGCTCCGAAGTAGACACAATCAGCAGCGCTGCACTGGAAAAGCGCTCTTGGAGGAACAGCAAACTGCATGAGCATAAACCTTTGGAGGTCCGCGCGGATTTCCTGGATCTGCGCTGAACACCCTTCCCCGGCGGGCGGATCGCGGCAGTGGCGGCGATGGAGGCGCCGCCAGGGGGGTGCAGCGCCGATCCAAGGAATCTGCGCGGACCTCCGAAGATGTATTTGTATGCAGTTTTCTGTTCTTCGAGCTCCGAGGGTCCACTCCCAAGGCTAGGAGGCCTCCGAAACGGGGTCCGAATAGATCGGGTCGGAGGATCGCGCCGGATCGCCGATGCATCGGCGACGACGGCGGTGCGTCGGCGATGGCAGCGCAGAGAAAATTGAGCTCCACATCGCGCACGCGTCCACGAACAGCAATCAGCACCCAAACCCTCGCGGCCTCAGAAACGTGGCCCGCGTCCGGCCACCGGCTCCTGGCAGTCTGTGCTTCGCAGCGACGGGAGAGGGAGAAAGGGGAACGATCAGCACGCAGACTACGTTGAGCAGGGACCGACCGTCCCTACATTCCTGTAGTCCTACTACGAAATGTTCTTAGAACCCCAAAAATGTTCTAAGAACAAAAACAATGTTCTTAGCAAAAAATAAACCCGATGTGCTAAAACAAAACAAACTCCGCCAGAAATGTTCTAAGAACATTTCGTGGGAACCACAAAGACTTCTGAGAACATTGTTTGGTGGGGCTATAGGCGGGCCGGGACGCTTCGCCACTGCATGACTACGGCGAACGCGCAGGCGGAAGGCCAGCCTCGGCGGGACGAAACAGGCGGGCGGGCAGGCGGGAAGGGACAGAGGGGAGACATCGAGCAGGGAGCAAGGGAGGAGAAGGCGAGGGAGAGGAGGAGGAGGAACATGAGCGGGAGGCGAAAAGGAGGGAGGAGCAGCAACCGCAAACAACGGCAATGCATCGACGATACTGCGTGATCCTCCGACCCATCTCTTGCACGCGTGAAACGGATACGGAAAACACGGGTACGATATTCAACAGCATGTGTTGTCCCAAACAGACAGCGGTCGCTGTCAAGCAAAGAACCTTCTGTCTCAAATGGGCAACGACCGCGGCCTCGCCGGAAACGGACCCTGTCCAGAATGAGCAAGAACTCCTGATGGACTTTATACCCATCGTTTCTGTACCAAGAAATAGTTGTTTCATGTGTTTGCGTAGCGCGACACCCTCCTCAGGGCCCTCCAGTGCCAGTGGCAAAGGAAACCGCCCCACCAGGGCGACTGAATACCGCTGGCTCCATGGCGAACCAGGGCCCGGAGAAGCGTGCTGCAAGGCAAGAAGGCGGAGTCGAAGTCGTTCGCCACCTGCCCAATGCTGGGCCCCACGCCAAGGGCGCGGGCGCCCAGTCGACGACAACGAAAGGACCCCGAAAAGCTTACACCCTTGAAAAACAACAGGGGCCAAAACATCACCCTAGACCCCTAAGGAGACAAAACAAGTTCATACTTTATACTCACGGAAATCGCCATACAGTCGAGGTGCTACCACAAGGAACGCTAAACAAGGCACGAAGGGTCTTTTCTGGCCCAAGAAGCGCCTGGAGGCGCGAAGAGCTGAAGAAAGAGCTGAAGGAACCGCCATAGAAGAGCTTGAGGAACAGCGAGCCCCTTTCACACCCAAAGTTGTCCTTATCTCAGCGTTTTGGCTGCAGTTGCTCACGATGCGCGCACAAACATTTCAGGAGGTCGGTCGGACTGGTCGGCCCTGCCCGATGGAGCCCTCCCTTGCGAGTCGCCAACAAGGCCGGGCGGGCGCTCTCAAGGACAACACTGATGTTGTACTGGCTTTCGCCCCTTGCATCTCGCTCGCCCCGAAATCCGTTCGGACCCGTTCGGGAGGCCCAGAAAAACGCACGGGGCCGCCTGGCCACAGGCAGGCGATCGTCAGGAGAGGCCAAGTCCAGACGGACCAAACCCAGACGGAGACCGAACACTCCGTAAGGACCTTCTCCGTATGGAGCCAGCATCCGCTCAGGAGAGAGGCTGAGCCCAGACCGAGTAAGCCCAGACGGAGGCCGAGCACTCTGCACGGCCTTCCTCAGAGTAGAGGGTCGGCTACAGAATTGGTTTAGCCCAAAATTGGTTTCCTCGCCGACTTGACAACAAAGATGTGGAATGCTCGTGGCCCTACGAGCAGTTCTGCGCTCTTCGCACACCCGACGAGACGACCCAAAGGGGGGGCAAACAAACCAATTCTGCAGAGTCGATCCCAATGTTGGGCGCCCGAACTATCCGGGGTAACTCGGGTCCGGGGTGATTCGGGTTTGGATTCCCGAAAAAAAAACCAACCCGGGTTAGCCCTGACCCGAGATACCCCTGATGATTTGGGGCTCTGGACGCCCGAATTATCCGGGGTAAGTCGGGTCCGGGGTAAGTCGGGCTCGGAATCCCGAAAAACGAACCCGAGTTAGCCCTGACCCGAGTCACCCCTGATGATTCGGGGCTCCGACAGTGTGGGAGGCAAACCCGTGTGGGGGCGAGCCCGACGAGAAAACCGGTTCTGTAGTCGAGCCCCTGCTCGACTACCTTCGCGTGGGCCGAGCCTCTCCCGAGACCGCCGCGCGCGCCGCCCTGCGCAAAAAAAACGCCGCGGGGCGCCCGCTGGTGAGCGGTGACCGACCGTCCCGGCATTCCTATCAGGGATGGACAGACCTCCCTTTAGCAAAACGTGGTTTAGTGAAAACGACCTGAGGCCCAAACCTGGCGGGCGCAAGCCTGGAAAATAACGGCCGCGGCGCCCTCTCGAGAACCGAAAACGGACAATTCACTAATCGACGTGTCACTGTTGGGGGTTCTGTTCACCCCCGATCCTATAGGCCCATCACGAAATGTCCTCAGAACCCCCCAAAAAGTGCTCTGAGAACAGGGACGACGTTCCTAGAACATGCGGCCCGATGTGCGAAAACAAAGAGGTCCCGGCCAGAACTGCTCCAAGAACATCTCGTGCAGACTGCAAAAGGTTCTCAGATTTGGACGCCCGGAATGGGCACGGAAAGAATGGGTACAGTGCCCAACCACAAATGCTGCCCCAAACCAACAGCGGCCACTGCTGGGCAGGCGGCCTTCGGTCTCAAGTGGACACAGGCCGCGGCGACACCGACAGTGAGCCCTGTTCGGAACGAACGGGAACTGCTGTTGGGCATCTGACTACCTACCAGACCACCCCAACCCAACCCGAAGACCCGAATTTGACCCGAATTTCGGGTTGGGGGGGGTACGGATACCACGTGTTTTTTCAACGTTCCCCGACCCCCCCCCACTGGAAGTCGAGGATAAATTTGGGCCTTCGGGTTGGGTTGGGGTGGTTTGGTGGGTGGTGGGCATCGTACCCTTCGGGCCCATCAGAGCATTCTCTGGTGGGCCTGCAGGCGAGCCAGGACGCTCCGCCACCGCTCGACACTGCACGGAGGGCTCCGGGCCCGCCACGGCCCGCCCCCCCCCCCCCCCGTGGCCGCCGACCGTCGTGGCCACGGCCAGCGCGTCGGCCAGCCGCCCGACGACGACGACGACGACGACGACGACGACGACGCGTGCGTGGAGCGCGGTGGCCGTGCGACGAGAGGGCCTCGGGACACACAGACAAACAGGCACGCAAAGCTCCCTAGACTTTCTCACGTGTTCTGGGTGTTCGTCTTCCTTCCCCAAAGCAGCTTCCCCTGTTCTCCCATATTTTCCTTGGGATCGACGATGCACTGTGTCTGTGTGTTCTTTCCCCTCCTGACAAGAGACGTGCTAATACTATATGTTCTCCTTAGAGGCGAACGCCCTAGCCGAACATACAGTATACTCAGGCCCATCACCCATCTTGTAGTACAGTCGACCCGTATCAAAAAATGCGCGATAAGGAAGTACGGGCCTTGGGCGCCCATTTCGAAGCGTTTCGAGCGGGGCGCGGCCAGCTAGAGTCGCCAAGGATGGGCCGAGGAGGCACGGATGCAAGGGCACCCTTGGGACGGTTGCCTATCCTTACCATGCGGGTTGACTGTATACCCATCTTGTAGTATATCGTTGCCCGACGCGCGCGCAGTATTAGTCTGTTGGGGTGGCGCCCAATACATGTGAGCGACGGACATGATGGCGGCTGTCGCCCACCGCTCGATGGCACCATGCACGTTTTGAGTGGTGCCCGAGGGGGGCTCCTTGATTACTGACCCGTCGGTCGGAAGGAGCGGGAAGAAACACGAAGTGGGAAGGCGTTGGAAGTGGATTGGGCTTCCGCCCGCCACCTGAAGAGGAGGGAAGAGGGAACACCGCTCGATGTTTGAAGTAGGAAGGCGCATGAAGTAGATTGGGATGGGAGAATCCAAAAATACCTACTTCAACCGACGTGTACTGATTGCTCAGCCAGGCTCTGCTTCCGATGCGCCGTCCGGGCGCTCGGCTTCTCTGTCTGTCTGATACAAAGTGGGCGACGGGAAGAAGCGGCTCTTACGCGAGATGACGGAAATCGACTTTACGCGGTGACTCACGCTGGCCGCCAGCGCGGCACGCCCCAGTGGAAACGAGGGCGCTGACGCACGAGCTTACGCGGGCAGCTTACGCGCGAATGTCAGCGCAGTCGACCTCGTTCGTGTTGTTCTGCGTCGCTCCTGTGACTCTCAAAAACGTCTGGGCCAAACATGAAAAACTGACCAAAGGCAAGGGCCAATCATGTTGTTCTGCGTGCACGGGTCAAACAACGGCTTCGTGTTGTTCTGCGTGCAGGGGCCACTTACGACAAATGTCTGAAACGGCCCAGGATCGCCGGAGCCGCGTCTCTCGACGTTACGCGAACCATACCAAGCAGCAACAGCTGAGCTGCATACTGGGAGTCGCGATACCGGTGGGGGGGGGAATCATGATTCATCTTTTGCCGTCGTGAGCGCTGCTCCCCCCTGAGGAAAGATGGGAGGGTCATCCCCTCGTATTTCCTGGGCTAGCATTGCCCGCCAGTCGGAAGCAGTTGAACACATGAAGTAGAAAGGCGGAGTAACTAGATTGGGTTCGGACCCGCCTAAATAACAATAAGCAACAATAACACCATATCGATTCTTGAAGTATGAGGGCGCTTGAAATATATTGGATTCAAGAGATCCCCGAATACCTAAGAACGTCCGACGTGGACGGGGGCGTAGGGTGGGGCACGCCAGGGCGAGAGGTGCGCTGCAATCGCCAAAGCGTGCGCGCGGGCACCAACATTTCGGGTGGGGGCCAAGCCCCGTCCTACCATGCGCACGATCGTTACTGTTACCCTGGAGGGGGAGAAGAATTTGGCCAGGGCAACGACCGCATTGCGCCAGAGGACAGCACATAACCTCGCCTCTAGCCTGAATCATGAAGGATACATGGTCCTGAAGGAAGGGGGTCCTGGAAGCCTTCCTCCGTTTTCGATGGCTTCAGGCCCTCGACGGACCCTGGAATTATATCAGGAACTGGCTCAAGATGAATAGCTGGCCCGGGGGAAAACCCTGGGGTCTGGGACCCGCTCTCCTCAGGACCCTCCTCTGCACGGTTACCCCCGGGGCCGTTGGCAACCCGAGGAGGAGGAGGAGGAGGAGGAGGAGGAGGTGGAGGAGGAGGACGAGGAGGAGGAGGAGGAGGAGGAGCCCCCAGGGGGGTACCTCGATGCGTGGGCGGCGCATCGGGGCCCCTGGGGTGCACTGAAATCCGCCTAGACGTCGCTTGCGGCGCCGCGGGCCAGGGGGTCGGCGCCCTGTCGGGCCTGGGGCGGCACCCCTGGACCAGCTGGGGTTGTCCCCCAAAATGGCCAGGTCTGCCGTCTCAGGTCCCACGGGGATCCGGCCTCTGGGTCCCGCGAGGGCACCCGTCCCTGGTCGGCGCAATCCCGTCCTTCGCGATGGGTGCACGTCGGCCTGTACGGCACCTGCCTGGGTTGGGGGCAGGCTCTCGCCACCGTTGCTGCCTGCCCGTCACGTTGCGGTGTCAGGTGTGGTCAGGGGGGCCGGCCCTCTTGGGTACGAGGAGGAGGAGGAGGAGGAGCAGGGAGCAGCGAGGAGCTAACAGCGAGCAGCGAGGAGGAGCGAGGAGAAGGAGGAGGAGGAGGAGGAGGAGGAGGAGGAGGAGGAGGAAGATGACGATGATGATGATGAGGAGGAGGAAACCCACCTGACCCCCCTTGGGCACATAGGGTCTGCGGGGGTGGGCCCGGTTACCCATGCGCGGGAGCACGCGCCGCGCGCCCCGCACGGCGACGCGGGGTGGTACCTGAGTCCCCTGGTGCTTGCCGAGCCAGGGAGGCATGGAGGGCCGCCCGCCTTCGGCGGGCTGGTGGTGCTCACCACGATCTGCGTGGTGAGCCTGGCGCCTCTCTCTTTTGCTTCCTCTCGTCGTCCCCCTTTCCCCCTCCCCCCTCGGGCCCCGCCAGGGAGGTGCGGCACCTAGCTTCGGGAGCGGCAAAGAGGGGGGTGTCCAAGAGGGGGGTGTGCAAATCATGACCGGCGGCATGTGCGCGGCACAGCGGGGGGGCCAGGGACATAATGAAACAAGAAGAGGCGCCATGAAATCTGAGGAAAAATCATGGCCCCCGCCATGATATCCACCCCCCCCTAGTCATCACCCCCCTCTTTTCCGCCCCCGATAGCTCTAGGGTGTCGCGGGGCCCGGGGTCGGGGGCTGGGCGTTTGGCGCCGCCCCCCCCCCCCCCCTCTTGTAGAGGCGTGCTGCGAGGCCCACCGTGGCGCCAGGCTGTGTCGCAGGAGGAGGAGGAGGAGGAGGGCGAGGAGGAGGAGAGGAGGAGGAGGAGGAGGAGGAGGAGGAGGAGGAGGGAGGAGGAGGGAGGAGGAGGAGGAGGAGGGGGAGGGGGAGGAGGAGGAGGAGGAGGAGGAGGAGGAGGAGGAGGAGGAGGAGGAGGAGGAGGAGGAGGAGGAGGAGGAGGAGGAGGAGGAGGACGGGTCGCCTAAGCCCTTCGGAGAAACCCTCCACCCGCCTCCTCCATGGCCACTTCTTCGCAACCTGAGTCCCCTGGGGAGCCTGGAGGCTCCAACCCCTCTGAAGGGGCCTTGGGACACACAAATACATACACACAAATTCGCCGGCCCAACGGGCCAGAGGCGTGCTAAGATCTCCGGTAACTGGTTAACAATTGTATATTGTACTAGTTCGCGCGCGCGGGGCGGCCCCTGGGGGTCCCCCGGCGAAAAGTACCCCGCCCGCCGCCTGGGAAGGTCCCGCCCGGTTCAACTCAGAGATGGTTTTCCTTCTGGGTGCGGCCTCTCAGGCCGCCCTGAGCGCGCCAAGAGTGCCCCAAGAGGCCCCCAAGATTGCTCAAGAGGCCCCCGAGACGTTCAAAGAGCGCTCCAAGGCGCCGAAGATGACCCCAAGACGGCCCAAGAGACCCCCAAGACAGCCGAAGAGGCCTTCAAGACGCCCCAAGAGCCTTCCAAGAGGCCTCCGAAGAGGGCCCCAAGAGGCCAAAATCGTTGATTTTCATTGGTTTTTTCCGATGTTTTTTGCGTTCTGGCTTTTTCGGCTTCCGGACGCTCTAAGACGACCCAAGAGGCGCCCAAGATCGCTCCAAGACGGCCCACGAAGCTCCCAAGACGGCCCCGAAACGGCCCAAGAGGGCCCCCAAGACGGCCCAAGTGCCGCCCAAGACGGACCAAGAGGCCCCAAGACGGGCCCAAGAGGGGCTCAAGAGGGGAACCGAGAACCGAAAAATCGAGCCCTCCGCCCCAGAAGGCGCCCAGGAGGCCCCAAAAAGGCCCAAGACGCCCCAAGAGGCGCCCAAGAGGCCCAAAAGAGGCCCCAAGAGGCCCCAAAACGGCCCCCAAGAGGCCCCCAAACTCGGCTAGCCCACAACGGTGCGACAATATGGGCCGGCGGAATGAGCGAAGCGATTAATAACAGGATTCCCGATAATTTTTGTCCAATATTTTCTTGGTTTTTGTCTTCCCCCCCACTTCCCATATTTTCCAATATTTTCTGGGGAATCGACGACTCATTGTGTCTGTGTGTTTTTGTTCCCTTCTGACCCTCCCCCTCGGACGGGCTTCCCACCCCGAGCCGCCTCGCGACAGCCCTGGGGCACGGCGAGGGCCCCCAGAGGCAGAGCGTGGCTGGGAGCCCTCGGCTGCCGGAAGCTGCCGCAGGAGCAACAGAAGCATAGCTGAATATATTGCCGAGGACGACGCGAGGTCCGGGGGGCACCCCTTGTCGACGGCGCGCCGGGGGAGAGAAGCGGGGGGGGGGAGAGGGCCTTCTCAGCCTTCTCCCAAGCCGCGGAGGGCCTCCCCCGAGCAGCCCCGCTGCCCTCTGAGAAGCTCTGCCCCCTGGGGCAGCAGACCCGGCCTCCCCCAGCACGCCCGAGCACCTCGGGCCTCGAACCCGAAACTCCCAAACTCCCAAACTTCTCCCTCGACGCGCCGCTGAAGCACTCTGGGGGGGTCCCCGCGCTGCGGCGCACGAGGCGGCCGCGACCACGACGGGGAACGACGACGGCCACGACGACGAGCGGCGACGGCGAACGACGACGGCGGCGACGGGCGGGTCGGCGAAGGCAGCCGTCGGCGAAGCCAACGGCCGGGCGACGTCAGCCGTGGGCGCCGCCGGCCCCCGAGGCCGCGCGGCCGTCGAGGCCGCGGGGGCGCAGAGGGGTGCGCGCGCCGCCCTGGCGGCGCCCTACCCGCTCGCGGCGGCGGCGGCTGCGGGCCGTGCCGGGGCGGAGAAGCCCTTGTAGCGTGTGGAGGGGTCCACCTGCCACTCCTTGCGAAGAGGCAGACACTCCCCTGAGGAGGAGGAGGAAGATGAGGAGGAGAAGGAGGAGGAGGAGGAGACGAACAAAAGCGGAGATCTTGTCCAGAGCAATTCTTTCACACCGGGCGTTTTCGCCCCGTCCTGGGCCCCGCGGGACCATCGCAGCTCGAGCTGGCTCGAAACGTGCGGCAGGAAGATGGGCCCAAGAGGCCCCCAAGATCGTCACAAGATGGCCCAAGAGGTTCCCAAGAGGGCCCCCCAGGCGCCCAAGGAGGCCCCCAGGGCGGCCCCAGAGGGCCCCAAGACGTCCCAAGAGGGCGCCTAGAGGCTCCCAAGAGGGCGCCAAGAGGGCCCCATGAGGCTCCCGATAGGGTCCTGGGGTTCCGCTCGTGGATGTTCCCGATGTTGTGCATTTCGCAGCGTCGGATATCAAGGTCCTCAAACAAGGCCCTCGAACATATGGCGGACTCCGGTGGGAAGCCGACGATTGCTTCCGCCAGGCCAGCTGGCCTTTCGCCAGCTTCCGCCAGCTTCCGCCGACCTTCCGTTGCCCAAGACATGACAGCTCCTTGGACGACCGAAATGGGCACGGAAAGAATGGGTACAATGCCTAACAACAAATGTTGTCCCAGACCAACAGCGGCCGCTGTTGGGCAGGCGGCCTTCTGTCTCGAATGGACACAGGCCGCGGCGGCGCGGACAGCGAGTCCTGTGCAGAACTAACAGGAACTGCTGTTGGGCATCGTGCCCACTCTTTCCGTGCCCATCTCGCTCGTGCAGAGCAGCTCCTTGGACACTCCTTGGACCGCCGGCCAGCTGAGCTTCCGCCAGCGGAGCCGCCCTCGTTTGACTCCCGCCACCCTCCGCCGACCTTCCGCCGCCCAAGACATGGCAGCTCCCTGGACCCTCGACGGCGTGGCCCCCTTTTTTGGACCGCCGCCCTACATATATATATATATATATATATATATATATATATCTATATATATATATATACTCTCGGCACTCCGGCGCGGACTTCCTCGGATCGGCGGCGGTGGGCCCAACGCCGATCCAATTGACTCCTCGGATACCCGGCGCTCTGATTTGTCCAATGCGTGGGCGCTGGGCCACTTCCCCAGGGCCAATTTTTCGGCCCGAAGTGGGCGTCGCTGCATGGGGGGGCGACAAAAATCGGGCGGGGAAGGTGCACTCTTCTGCCCCAGAGGGCACCATTTTTCGTGCCCCAGCAGGCCTCTTCGAGGGCTCTAAAGGGCCCCTTATTCTGCAGCCCACGCTGCCCCCCCAGCGATCGCCCCCCCATTGCGCGACGGCCACACACACACACTGTTTTCTGACGGTGCCAGGACCCCGGGCCCGCGTCGAGGGCCCCCGGAGGCCGAAAACCATCAAGAGACCAGCCGCTCCGACTGTCTCGGAGCCTCGGAGCCGTGGCTCCGCGCGGAGCTCCGAAAAATCTGAGGTGCAGACACCGTGTTCTGCTCCGGTCCTTCTCGGGCCTGAGCGTGTAGCTCTTCGTCTGCCCCTCCACGGACTTCAGTACCCGCCGCCGTGCCCGCACGGCGCGGGCGCGTGAGGGCCCCGCCCCCCGCCCCCTCCTGGTGCCAGCTCGGGGAGCAGGACCAGGGGGCCGCATGAGAGCCCTGCCCCTGCCCCCCACGGTTTCTGAAGGGGGAGGGTGGGGTTCACTCCGTTCGGGAGCTCCCGAGCGAAGGGAACCCACCCTCCCCCTCAGAAATCGTGGGGGGCAGGGGCAGGGCTCTCATGCGGCCCCCCTCAGGATATGGAAGAAGCACAGGCTGTCGGAGCTCAGGCGCGGAGCTCTCGGATCGGCGCTGGAGCCCCCTGGCGGCGCCTCTCGCGCCGCCCCTGGTGCGCTCCGCGCGCCAGGGAGGGGAGAGGGTTCCGCGCGCCGATCCGAGGCCTCCGCGCGGACCTCCGAGAGTTTCTCCAACTAGAGGCATCTCGCTGCGCGCATCGCCCTCCCTGCCATCGCTCGGACGTCCATGCCCCGTGCGTTTTCGCTCGGCTTCCGGCGTCCTCTTGCATTATTGCAGGATGATTCAGGGTGCTCCTTGTTGGGCTACGCCGAAAAAAATGCGAGGAGCGGGCGGAGGAGGAGGAGGGGGGGGAGGAGGAGGAGGAGGAGGAGGAGGAGGAGGAGGAGGAGGAGGAGGAGGAGGAGGAGGAGGAGGAGGAGGAGGAGGAGGAGGAGGAGGAGGAGGAGGAGCGATGGAGAACACGTTCGAGCGATGCCAAGCCTCCCGAGGTTCCCGGCCCGTGGCACGGCGGAGGTTTGCCGCAGGCACCTGGATGTTGAAGGCCATGTCGGCGTTGGCAAAAACGGCCTCGGCGTCGCCGGTGGAGAACCATATCCGCCGACCATTTTTCGGCGGCGAGCGAGGGGGGGAAGTGAGAAGGAGAAAGCCTTCTCAAAAGGTTGCGGATTCTCAGAAACCCTCGCGCCTTCGGAGAGCTTTTTTGTGTTTTCCGGGAAGGCTTCGAACACTTCTGAGAAGGCCTGGGGACTTCCGAGCCTTCTGAGAACGCCCGCCCCTTCTCATTTCCCCCGGGCTCGCCGCCGAATTTCGAGATCACCAGGCCAGTGAGCACTCTCCCCATGCCCAAACTCATCCCCATGGGGACCGCATGTGCATTAAACTTACATGATTAAGTCATGTTCGCCATCGGAATATCCGCCAGCCCCCTTGTGGTTGTGGGGCCACCAGGCTGTAGGGCGAAGATTCGCAATTTCATGTACCAGTTGCAGCTTCCAATTTCCACTGTTAGAGTTATGCTTCTTGCTGCTTACTTTTCCTTGTTGATGGACCGCGCGAGGGGGGGGGAAGCTCAAACGGGCAGGTTTAGCACGCCTTGGGCGTGTGCTCTGTATTGCTGGGGTGGATAACAATTTACACCCCTCACACAGATCGGCGGGGTCAGGGTCCAAAAACATAGGGGATTTGCCACATTTCTGAAATTCGCTAGCACCCCTCACGCAGATCGGCAGGGTCAGGGTCCAAAAACATTTGGGATTTGCTACATTTCTAAAATTAGCTGGCACCCCTCACACAGATCGGCGGGGTCAGGGTCCAGAAGCACTGGGGATTTGCTACATTTCTGACATTCGGTGGCACCCCTCACGCAGATCGGCGGGGTCCGGGTGCAAAAACACACAGGATTTGCTACATTTCTGAAATTCGCTAGCACCCCTCACGCAGATCGGCGGGGTCAGGGTCCAAAACCATATTGGATTTGCCACGTTTCTGACATTCGGTGGCACCCCTCACGCAGATCGGCGGGATCAGGGTCCAAAAACAATTGGATTTGCCACATTCCTGAAATTCGATGGCACCCCTCACGCAGATCGGCGGGGTCAGGGTCCGAAAAAATATGAGTTTGCAATATGTCTGAAATTCGGTGGCACCCCTGACGCAGATCCGTAGGGTCAGGGTCGAAAAACAAACAGGTCCTGACACTGCTTCACGGCGGCGCCCAGACCTCATGATTTAGCTTTTGCATCTCCCACTATCCGAGACATGGGGCCGGCGGCATGGGGCGAAGCCCTTACGGATCAAAAAGGTTCCCCAAGAGTCCCATTACGTCTGAGATGGCAACAGATACGACTCGGACTGGCGTCATGATGTTATTGCACAGGATTGCGGCGATCACCAAAACGTGCCAAAATGGCATCAAGACGTCCAACAACCCGCCGATATACTCGAATGTGCCCCCTGGAACCATAAACAATGTCGCCATGCTGCTTACGACGCAGGATACTTCGATCTCCTCGAAACAAGCAGCCCCGCCTTGATACATGGGCATGGAGCACGGGTAAATAACTCCTGTGCAGCTTAGCTACAGCCGCGCTCCTAACAACTTGGCAATACTGTCTCTGCTCAATAATTTGATTTAATCTAGTCGAATTGCTGCAGACATTGGCGTGCGATGCAACGAGGTGGAAAGCAATGAGGTGCCATGCCATGTCAGGCACTGTGCACCAGAGCTGCGCATAGGTTGCCTCACCTTTCGGCTCTCGGGGCGTCCAAGACGGCCAAAGGGGCCCCCAATATCGCCAAGAGACGGCCCGAAAATGGCCCTAAGAGCGGCCCAGGGCGCACCAAGAGGGCCTCCCAAAGGATCAAGACTGCAACTGCAGGCCCGAGGACTGCAAAATTGGTGAAAAGGCTCCCGAAGGGCCCCGTGAGGTCCCCAAGGCGGCCCAGACGGCTCCATGGATTGCCCAATGAGGCACCCAAGACGACTCCAGCCACGACGCGACACGGGCATGCCTTCGGGCCACGACTCGGGCCTTCGGGCGCCGCTCGGGAGCACTCGGACACCCCTGGAACTGGAACGCTCTCGGCGAGGAGCAAGCCCCGGAACAAAAAAACAACAGTTGCTATTCTTCACGGTAACGCCTCTTGCCGGCCCCCCCCTCCGCCCCTGGTCACGTCACGATTCGCGCCGCGCCATTCCCGTCGGTGCTGGCGCGAATCGTGACGTTACCAGCCACCTCCCTCCCTCTCCCCGGTAACGCCCGTTGTCGCCGGAGGACACGACCTGTCACAAAACATTCCGAGGCTGGAAAAGGCTGCGAGAACCTATCATAACGTCTGGAGACGTTGAAAACCTCGAACCAGGAGGTCCCCGAAGGGACACAGAGCCGCCCCCAGAGCACCCCAAGAAGGCCCAGCAGCGGACGGAACGCTTCCTTCCCACGACGCAGAGCACAAGATGGCATGCCACTCAAGCTGGGCGGGAACCGGCCAGGCACTTGACACCGCGCGCGTTCACGCGCAGAAGGATACGAGCCCCTGATTGTGGGAGCAACTCCACTCGCACCGCTGAGCATGCACACGCACGTTGACCGCGGGCGCCGCGCGTGAGCTCTTGACGGTGCGCCAAGGCTGCAGATGTCTGGTGGCCCTTGCTGCGGACATGCCGGCTGGCCGTGCCACCTCCTGGGCCTCGCAGGCCCGGCTCGGGTCGCCAGCGCCGCAAGGCGAGGTCACTACGTCGGTGCAATGGGGCCCGTAGCTGACTACCTACCAGACCACCCCAACCCAACACGAAGACACGAATTTGACCCGAATTTCGGGTTGGGGGAGGTACGGGGACCATGTGTTTTTTCGATGTTCCCCGATCCCCCCCCACTGGAAATGGAGGGCAAATTGAAGCCTTCGGGTTGGGTTGGGGTGGTTTGATTGGTGGTGAGTAGCAGATGGATCCCCCTGCCCATACATTAGGGGGCCACGTGCGAACCCTGCCCCTACCCCCCACGAGTTCTGAAGGGGGAGGGTGGGGTTCACTTCGTTCGAGAGCTCCCGAGCGAACCCTGCCCCCACCCTCCCCCTCAGAAATCGTGGGGGGTAGGGGTAGGGTTCGCATGTGGCCCCCTATACATGCCATCGTATCGGGCGGCCTCCACACGATCGGGGAATCAACAGCACGGAGCCACAGGATGGCCCCAGTGCATACCACGGCCACCCCAAAGTGGCGACAAGACGGCCTGTGACCGGACCCAGGAGGCCGCCGCACGAGGCTGGGGACTCGCGGACGAAAGGCCACCGCGCCAGGACGAGAAGGGGCGGGCGGGTACCGGTCGGTCGGAAGAAGTGGGCAGGAACACGAAAAAGGAAGGCGTTGACAAAGGCTGGGTGCCGCTCGCCCGCTGAAGGCGACGGAAAAGGTGGAGCCACTCGACCCTTGAAAAACGGAGGCATCATGAGTAGATTGGGATCTGGGGTGCCAAACATACCTGCTCACAACGACGGGCGAGTATGGCGCGCGCCTCCTGAATCATCAAGTTGGATATAGCGTCCAAGGCTCCCAAAAAACCGCGTATGCAGCCGAGTCCCGTGGGCCAGAACGGCTCCAGCAGGGCGTCGCCGACCAGGCACAGCGGCAGCACGGGCGCGCCCTCCTCCCTCTTGAAGATCACGCTGCGATCGTGCCGCCGCGTGTCGGAAAAGTCAAAGGCCATGCACGACTGCTTCGGCGTGAACGTCTGTGGGATGCCGAAGTGCTCGGCTACTTGCCTAGAGAGGTCTTGCAGCGTGTCGATGTCCACGTTCGACGTGTCCAGGAGAGGCACACCTTCTGGCTCGGGGCAGCGGAGGCAGCCTGTGTCTAAGAGGCACTGCTTCGTCGGCGTCATGATCATGTAGTGGTTCTCGTCGCCTCTATAATACACTATGTTCTCGAGGTTGAGCCCCACTTTCGCCTTGAGCCGCTGAAAAAGGGGCCTCTGGAACTGGTAGGCCCAAGAAAACTGGCGCACGTCACGTTCCGCCTGCGTACCAGAATTTACAAAATTCGACACTATGCCAATTGCTTTCCCCTCCTTGCCAAGACCCGTCTTCTTGGGATTCGAGCCGTTCGAGATAGCGATCCTGGACGCGGCCCCATCTGCGCAAGCGATGGCGTCGACAGGCAGACGGTCTCTGCCATTCGTAAGCGCTGGGTGCGTCTCCATCAGCCAGTGACCGCCCACGGGGTTCACGGAGCGGAACTCCACCCCGAGCTCGACCGATACACCCAGCAATAAGCAGCACTTCAGCAACAGATGCTGCGCCTCCGAGATGCCAATGTGCACGTAATCCTCTGGCATGCGACACTCGTACCGAATGGAAGAGTATTGATGGGGTGACGCTTTCGAACTAGTTCTTCAACCTCGGTCACCTACTTGGGCGCCCGAGTTATCCGGGGTAACTCGGGCCCGGGGCAACTCGGGCTCGGATTCCCGAACAACGAACCCGAGTTAGCCCTGACCCGAGTTACCCCTGATGATTTGGGGCTCTGGACGCCCGAGTTATCCGGGGTAACTCGGGCCCGGGGCAACTCGGGCTCGGATTCCCGAAAACGAACCCGAGTTAGCCCTGACCCGAGTTACCCCTGATGATTTGGGGCTCTGGACGCCCGAGTTATCCGGGGTAACTCGGGCCCGGGGCAACTCGGGCTCGGATTCCCGAAAACGAACCCGAGTTAGCCCTGACCCGAGTTACCCCTGATGATTTGGGGCTCTGGACGCCCGAGTTATCCGGGGTAACTCGGGCCCGGGGCAACTCGGGCTCGGATTCCCGAAAACGAACCCGAGTTAGCCCTGACCCGAGTTACCCCTGATGATTTGGGGCTCTGGACGCCCGAGTTATCCGGGGTAACTCGGGCCCGGGGCAACTCGGGCTCGGATTTCCCGAGTTAGCCCTGACCCGAGTGAACGAAAAATTGAACCCGAGTTAGCCCTGACCCCTACCCCTGATGATTGGGGCTCTGGACGCCCGAGTTATCCGGGGTAACTCGGGTCCGGGGTAACTCGGGCTCGGATTCCCGAAAAACGAACCCGAGTTAGCCCTGACCCGAGTTACCCCTGATGATTGGGGCTCTGGACGCCCGAGTTATCCGGGGTAACTCGGGCCCGGGGCAACTCGGGCTCGGATTCCCGAAAAACGAACCCGAGTTAGCCCTGACCCGAGTTACCCCTGATGATTTGGGGCTCTGGACGCCCGAGATATCCGGGGTAACTCGGGCCCGGGGTAACTCGGGCTCGGATTCCCGAAAAACGAACCCGAGTTAGCCCTGACCCGAGCTACCCCTGATGATTGGGGCTCTGGACGCCCGAGTTATCCGGGGTAACTCGGGCCCGGGGCAACTCGGGCTCGGATTCCCGAAAAACGAACCCGAGTTAGCCCTGACCCGAGTTACCCCTGATGATTTGGGGCTCTGGACGCCCGAGTTATCCGGGGTAACTCGGGCCCGGGGCAACTCGGGTTCGGATTCCCGAACAACGAACCCGAGTTAGCCCTGACCCGAGCTACCCCTGATGATTTGGGGCTCTGGACGCCCGAGTTATCCGGGGTAAATTCCCGAAGCCCTGACCCGAGCTACCCCTGATGATTTGGGGCTCTGGAGGGGTAACTCGGGCCCGGGGCAACTCGGGCTCGGATTCCCGAACAACGAACCCGAGTTAGCCCTGACCCGAGCTACCCCTGATGATTTGGGGCTCTGGACGCCCGAGATATCCGGGGTAACTCGGGCCCGGGGCAACTCGGGCTCGGATTCCCGAACAACGAACCCGAGTTAGCCCTGACCTGAGCTACCCCTGATGATTTGGGGCTCTGGACGCCCGAGATATCCGGGGTAACTCGGGCCCGGGGCAACTCGGGCTCGGATTCCCGAACAACGAACCCGAGTTAGCCCTGACCCGAGCTACCCCTGATGATTTGGGGCTCTGGACGCCCGAGATACCCGGGGTAACTCGGGCCCGGGGCAACTCGGGCCCCATGGAGGAGGAGGGCAGCTCTCCCGCCCAGGCCCCGACGCGACGCGAGGACTGTGGTCAGAGCAACCCTCATCTTTTTCCCGGGCATCCGTGGTTCAACACAAATCTGCGGGCACCAAGAATGTACACCGAAACCACGTCGATTCCTCCTCCCTTCTCTACCCTCTCTCTCTCCTCCTCCCTGGGAGAAGGAGGGCGTGAGGGAGGTGGTGCTGGTGGTGTGTCTGTTTGGCACAGAGCTTAAATTGCGACGGCCACTTTCTGGGGCCGTGTTCAACCTCTGCCAGCCTGGGACCGCCCCCCGAACCGTCATGAAACGGCAAAGGAGGAGGAGGAGGCAGAGGCGAAGGATGAGGAGGAGGAGGAGGAGGAGGCGGAGGAGAAGGAGGAGGAGGACGACGACGAGGGCCCATGCGGCGCGATCCTCCAGCCCAGGCCATCTCCGAGCCTCGCTGGGCAGCCTGGGCGGCAGGGCCCCGGCCCTCCCCTCGGGTGGTCTCAAAGCGACCCATGCGCTCGGCGGGGTGGGACCCACGACTCGGGAGCTCTCTCGAGACGCCAGAGAGGGGATGGACCCGAAAGACGGCCAGAGGACGGGCCGCGCAGTCCTTGTCGACGCCGAAGCTGCCGCCGGGCGGAGAGAAGTCCTTCGCGCCCCAGAGGATGAGGTCCTGCTTCACCCAGTCCCACAGGTGCATCCTGGAGCGGCCCGGGAACTCCCCCCCGAGGAACATCCTCTGCACAAGCAAGCCCAGACCCCCGACGCACCGTCGACCCCCAGCGGTCTCGTCCCATGCCCCCGGACCGAGCTTCGAGGCGCGGACGGAGCTGCTGCTGCTAGCTGGCGCCCTCGTGGGCCTCCTCCCGGCCACCGACAGGTGGAGAGGCAATCGCGACGAATGGGAGGGGAGCGCCCGCACGGCGCGACGCAGGACAGCCCGATAAGCCGAGCACCTCGGAGGCTCGGGAGGAGGAGGGAGGCTGTGGGCAGCGGGGGGAGGCGGAGGAGGCGGAGGAGGAGGGGGAAGAGGAAGAGGAGGAGGAGAGGGAGGAGGAGGAGGAGGAGGAGGAAGAAGAGGAGGCAGAGGAGGAGGAGGAGGAGGAGGAGGAGGAGGAGGAGGAGGAGGAGGAAAAGGAGGAGGAGGAGGGGAGGAGGAGGAACGGGAGGGTGAGGAGAGAAATAGGAGCAGGAGGAGAGGAGGGAGGAGGAGTAGGAGGTGAGGAAGAGGAGGAGCATGAGGGAAAGGAGGATCAGGAGGAGAGCAGAGGGAGGAGAGGGAGAGGAGGAGCACCACGGAGGCTCAGGAGGAGGAGGAGGAGGAGGAGGAGGAGGGAGGGGGAGGCTGCGGGCAGCGGGAGCGGAGAGGTGCGCGTGCGGTGAGCGTTCTGGGACGCTCTGAGACGGATTCGTCCTTGTCCTAGCCCGGGGCCCCGCCCCGTCCGACCTCCTCCTCCTCCTTTGTGTTTTTTAACGCCACGTGAACTAAGGGCCGATTCCTGAAGCGTTAACGCCTCCTCCTCCTCCTTTCCTTTTCCTCCTCCTCCTCCTCCTCCCCCTCATCCTTTTTTACGCTGCGCGGACTTAGGGTGGGTGCCTGAAGCGTTAAAGCTTCGTCCTCCTCCTGCCCCTCCCCCTCCCCTCCCCCTCCCCCTCCTCCTCCTCCTCCTCCTCCTCCTCCTCCTCCCTCCTATCCTCCTCCTATCCTCCTCCTCCTCCTCCTCCTCCTCCTCCTCCTCCTCCTCCTTCTCCTCCCTCTCGCCTGGACCTCTGGGGCCAGCGCTGGTCTGCCCGGCCTACGGGCGGCGCCTCCCGCGTCGCCCGTGCGGCGCGCTCGGCGCGCGCCGTGGAAAAAGGGGGGGTCCAGCGCTGGCGGAGGCTGGCCGCCCGGACCTCTACACGTTGCGCTCACACCGATTCGTTTTTTTTCTCCTGGGAGGACACGATAGAGCACGGGAGGAGCTCAGGCCGCAGCCCGTGGGGAGACGGAACGGGCGCCCACACTGGCGACCAGCGCACATCCGAGCCGAAGCAAGGCTCATGCCCAGCAACTGCACGGCGGGTCTGGGTGGCGGGCGCTCCCCAGGGAGGGAGGCAGGAGGCGGGGGGCGGAAAAACGAGGCGCGGGGCGGGAGGGCCTCCAAGCAACTGCTGGGAGGTTTTCGTCGGAAAGATGAGAGAGGATTAGGCCCCATTGGGGGGCTGTTATGCCGGAGTGGGCCTTGGGTGAAGCCGGATTGAGCGGGATTAAGCGGGATTAAGCCGGATCAAGCGGGATTAAGCCGGATCAAGCCGGATTAAGCCGGATTTCGGACCAGGGCAAGAACAGAATTTGACCTCCCAGGATTTGCATCCGAACACCGATGTTCCCAGACCCCCTCGAATCATAGCAAAAATCACGTCGGCAAAGTGTTCGCTATCTTCGGCCCCTTGGGGCCCCTACCAAGCTCCGGGACCGTCGAAAAACGACTCGGGATGAAAAGCCGGAAGGGGTCCAGACCTCTGGGGGTCGATGTTGTGAAAAACTCGCGTCTTGGGTCTGGGTTTGGAGGAACATAAATAAATACACGTCGGTCGGAAGATGTGGGTATATACACATATATATATATTGTGACATCATGAAGTGGGGAGGAGGCGTTGGACATAGATTGGGCTTCCGCCCGCACCCTGAGGACGAGGGACGAGGGAAGACCACTCCTCTCTTGAATCAGGAAGGCGCCTGAAGTAGATCAGGACCTGCTCATCCAGAAATACCTACCTTCAACGACCAGCGACTGAACAACCATCAACGGACTTTAATATCAATCACCGGGCCTGCACGGCGCGGGCGCGTGAGAAAAGCCGGGCGTTGTCAGGCTGGGCTCCTGGGAGTCTGGCCCGCTCTGCGCGCCATGGAGGGGGGCCCCAGCGCCGGCGGAGGCCAGCCGAGCGGACCTCTTCGCACGTTACGCTGACGGCAGGCTCGTGCCGTGACGACCCTGGCGTCGGCTTCTGACGCCGCGTGGATCGCTGAACCTTCCCGCGCGTGTAATTAGATCGACCCGCGGCCCGGACCTTTCACCACAGCGCCTGTGCTTTCGCTTGCGCCCGCGAGGAAAAAAGTGGATCGCTCAACCTCGAGCGGTCGGCGGCTTTTTCGATAGCCAAACCGCTGCATACTCGCCGTGTCTGGGCCCCACACGGCGTTCAGCCTTGAAGGCCCGCGGCGGGGTCGCCGCCGCCGTCCACACGATAGGGACCTGCTGTAAGCAGGTGCTACCTCTTCGACCCCAGGCCCGCTTGTCGAGGAGAGGATCGACTACATACTTGATTGATCCCCAGCTTGATTTCCTCGTCGCATCCGTGAATAATGTGTAGAGAGGATCTATCAACGATAATTGATTGATCCACAACTTGATTTCCTCGTCGTATCCATGAATAATGTGTAGAGAGCATATATCAACGACAATTGATTGATCCCAAACTTGATTTTCTCGTCGCATCCATGAAAAATGTGTAGGAATGATCTATCAACGACCACATTCGTCGACTTGTTTTGTATATATTCGACGAGGAAAACAATTCTGGGGTGACTCAATCCTGCAGTCGAGTCCCCTACTCCGGAGGGGAGGAATCGAGCGCCGAAACGTCGTGGCGATCGTGGCCACCGCTGATTTTGGTCAGCGTCAAGTTATGGATTATTGCTGGTGAGTGTTATTTGTTTGTTCAGCGCGATATTTTGGGAGTAGAAAGAGGGACAAGCAGGAGGGGACGATCGCAACAGCTCTGCACTCCGTGGCGACACGCGGAAGAGACTGACCAGCGGCTTTCTTTACAACAACACCCCAGAAGTGAAAAAGCACTGGCGAGAAGATCGTCGAACTCTTGGCCAGCTCGTCGAAGGAGGAGGAGGAGGAGGAGATCCCGCGACGTCCTGGCCGTGGTCCGCACGCTCCCCCCCTCGGTGCCCGAGCTTGCGCGCGGCTCGGACCCCGCCCCGATGCCCACCAGACCTCGTCGAGCGACCTTGGCCTTTAGATCGGGCGTGTCCTCTTACAGGCGGACTTTGGAGGGACAAAAAAAAGAGAGAACTCGCCAAACAGCCACCAACAAGCATACAAGAAGAGATTCAGAACGTCGTCCCCAGACGATCCTTGGACTGTCTCTGAAGAGTCCTCCTGTAGAGGGACACGCCCGACTGAACCTTGCACCCCCCCCGCTCCCCTCGGGGATGGACAGACCTCCCTTTCGTAAAACGTGGTTTGGTGAAAACGACCTGAGGCCCGAACCTGGCGGAAAACCGAACACGGTCAATCCACTGATCGACGTGTCACCGTTGGGGGCTCCGTCCACCCCCCGACCCCCCCTTCTCGGAGGCCGCACGGCCTTCTTCCACGAGAGAACGCCCGGGAGACGCAGATATCGGCAGAGCCGCTGCCCCCCTCCGGGTGCGCGACGCGCGGACCCGCGAGCACAGGGACACGTCCCTGTAGCGTTGGCGGCTGGGCAGGGGACGCCTGCGCTGGCGAACGGATCGGGCCTGAGCGGGGATGCCGCTGCAGCGCTGGGAGCGCGGGGAGGGCGCGGCCGAGAGAGTGGCGGACGGAGCGGGCGGCTCGGGGAGCACAGGGACAGGACACGCGTGCATGGCAAGTCGAGTCGCACGGCAAGTCAAGTCACCTTCCGGACGGTGCCCGCGCCCCTGCCCAGGGGAGCACACAGCTGCGCACACGCAACAACTTCAGGAGGTCGGCACGGAGAGCCCGGGCTGGCGTTTCGAGCGGGGACCTATGTCATCCCGATAGGCCTACCACGAAAAGTACCTAGAACCAAATGGGTGTCGATCAAAAACGAGTCTTCCGCAAACATTTTGTGCAAACCACACAAGGTTCTTAGAACATGAGTTGGAAGCCTTATGGGTAGCTCACGACGCCTCGCCACTGCTTGAGCGTGGAATCCCCCTTTTCCACACCTCTCCCCCGGCGCGCGCCGGGGGCGGCGCCAGAGGCTGCGCAGGAGGTGCGGGAGCAGGCGGCGACATCTGAACCGTACCCCCACCAACCATTGATCCTCCTGAATCGATGGGAGGCGGAACCCTTGCCTGAACCCTTCACCTGGCCGTCGCTCGGACGTCCACTCCCTGTGCTTTTCTTCGGTTTTGTGCATGGTCCTCGCCAAAAGATATATCTTTTGGTTCGCGGGTCGAAAGAGCACATCTTCCGGTCGAAGCTAAGCGGGCCGCGCGAAGCTTGAATTAACCAGAGATGGGGGAGGAAAAGGGGGACGCAGCCTCAGAACGAGGCCAGGAGGGGGCAAAGCCTCGGAACCGCCGAAGGATGCATGCACACGCCCGAGCGATGCCAAGACCCCCGCCGCCGTTCCACTTGCCTGCACCCTTCATCGGCGAGGGCAGGGCTCGGCCTCCGCCGCCGAGTGATGGAGCCCGCGGAGCGCCCGCGGGGGCAACTGGCCCAGGGGAAGGGGGGCCATCCGGCGGCAAACCACGGAGGCCCCCCCCACATGGGGTCGGAGGGTCGCGCCGCATCGCCGAAGCATCGCCGTTCCACCGGCACCGTCGGCGATGCCTCGGCGACGTCGACGTCGAACACATCGGGCTGCGCATCGAGCCGCGTCGCCGATGCGTCGGCGATGAGGCGCGATCCTCCGATCCCACCTGCTCGGACCTCCACCTGGAAAGCCTAGACCCCAAGAGATCCCCAGAGATCCGATGTCGTGTTTTTGGTTCACTACAGGGTCCTCGGAAGTCTGGACCCTGTCCCCAGGGATGGTTTTTCCTCTCGAATCGTTTTGACGGCCTGGGGCCTGGCGAGGGCCTCTAGAAGCCTCAAGGGCGAATAACCGTCGTCTTGATTTTTGTCAAGAAGTTGGATCTCTGGCTCCGCGCGGACCTCCGGCTTTTGTTGGCTTTGGCTCAGGCTGCCTTCTGCCCGCTGGGGTCGGGTGATGCTGCGGGCCGCCGGCGCCGCCTCCCTCGCCACCCCGCCTCAGCGCCTCTCCTTCCGAGCGGAAGCCCCTGGATTTGGACGCCCGAAATGGGCACGGAAAGAATGGGTACAATGCCCAACAACAAATGTTGCCCCAAACCAACAGCGGCCGCTGTTGGGCAGGCGGCCCCTGTCTCGAATGGACACAGGCCGCGGCGGCGCGGACAGCGAGCCCTGTTCAAAATGAACAGGAACTGCTGTTGGGCATTGTACCCATTCGTTCGGCACCCATTTCGTTCGTGCAGGCTGGACATCCAACCCCTTCCCCGGGGCCGGCCTCCCCCGTCGGCTAGGCGCCAGAGAGAGACCCTCTAGCGTGGCCGAACCCTGGCGTGCAGGCGGCCGCCACCGCACTGCCCTCAGCGATCGGTGGGGCCCCGGTGGGCCCGCACCAAACTTGGGGTGAAGGGCCACTCTTACTCAAGGGGCCCAAGGACACACATAAAAAATACACACAAATAAAAAGATCACCCATGTTTTCCAATATTTTCAGGGTTCTTTGTCTTCCCCCACACTTCCACATTTCCCTGGGAGTCGACGATTAATTGTGTCTGTGTGTTTTTTTCCCTCCTGACTTACGTGCAGTCGACCCTGGGGTTCTCGAAGATGGTGCAGTGACGGCACGAGCGGTGACCTCGAGATCCCAAGGGAGGACCTCACCGCACGGTCCGCCACCGCACCGCTCTCGGGCCCCGGAGGCCCCGGCGCCCCCGCGACGAGGGAGAGGCCCCGGTGCCCAAGACCGTGCGGCGACCCCGAACCCCCACACTGACACACCACACGGTGTGGCCACCGCATCCTGCGGCGGCCCTCGGGGATCCTCCGACCCGGGTCGATCCAGACCCAGGTCAGCCGGGCTTGCAGGAGATGCTGCAGGATCCTGCGCTCCAAGCCCAGGTCAGTGCGACCCTCGTGTCGGACACCGTCGAGCGGCCAGGGGCCGCCCCTCCCTGCCCGCAGGTGTGGTCTGGTGATGGCGCCCGCAGCCGCCGCCCGCTGCCCGCCCGCCGCCGTCGCCGCTGCCCGCCGCCAGCTGCCTGCCGCCGACGGGCAGCGACGAGACGACGGCGGCGGCCACGTGGCGGCCGGAGCGGCCCGCAGGCCCAGCTGCGTAGAAAAGAAGTGCGAGCCCCTGAGAGTAAGCACTGCTTGGGGATGTGTCTGGAACCTGCGCGCTTGCGGTGTGCTCCCATCCGTGAGACATCGGCGGGAGAAGCGGCGCTCCGCTCGCACAGAACCCCAGGGAGGAGGGTGCAGTGGCCCTCACATGGGGCAGCTGTGTAAAGAGGGAGGGAGGGAGAGTGGGAGGAGGGGAGGAGGGAGAGAGGGAGGGAGCGAGGGAGAGAGACGACGAGGCGAGGACGACGACGAGCAGGGGGGCGTCCTGTTGATGCGCACGAAGTCGCCCCGCTTCTCCAGCACGGTGACGCTCGCGCCCGCGAGGCGGGCCTCCAGCGCGAAGCGGAGCCCCACCGGCCCCGCGCCCACGACCACGACGTGCCTGCCCCGGAAGGGCCTCCCGGCGTAGTCCCGCCTGCTGGCCTGCGCGAGGCAGCCCGCGGCGCGCCCCGAGGCGGCCTCTGGCTATGCTTACGTCGGGCCTGTCCCTCTACAGGGGGGGGGAAATCCAAAAATAGTTAAAAAATAGCCAGGGGATTATTTGTTGAATATTTTTTGACCATTTGGGAATATTTTTTGGGGGTTGTCTATTCTGCGTCGAAAATCCCCCTGTAGGTGGACACGCCCGACCTAAGGCTACCCCCCACGATTTCTGACGGGGAGGGTGGGGTTCACTTCGCTCGGAAGCTCCCGAGCAGAGTGAACCCCACCCTCCCCCTCAGAAATCGTGGGGGGCAGGGGCAGGGTTCGCATGCGGCCCCCTACACACGACGGGGCCCCGCGTGCACGGCAGACCGCCCCGCGCGACGGACTTCCTCGCGACGAGCTTCCTCGCTGCACCCAGAGGTCCGAGGCTCCGGAAAAGCTGGAGCGCCTTGTCTTGGGTTGTCTTCGGCATCCTGGGGGGGGGCTTCGACGGGCCTCGGGATCGGGAACGCATGCAACTCAGGACGTTCAACCGGCCTTCTAGGGGAAGTGGTCCAAACCTCTGGAGGTCCACGCATCTGAAAAATTGGAGCGCTTGTTGTCTTGGTATGAGGCCCTCACGGTAGCTTTCCCCACAGACGGTTGCTTGCGGTAGAGCGCTCGCGGTGCAATCCTCAACAACGATAAAGGCCACCTCACGGTAGATCCACCACGACACATTCCTCAATGGACGAGCGCACCATGCCACTCGCAAAAGGCCTGGATCCGCCATGGAAGATTCGCGCTCGGTGACTCAAGGCAGATTCCTCACCACGGCACCCCGCTCCATGTGAGCGTTTTCTTATTCGGCGTTTCGGCCTTGGGCGGAAGGGCGGGGGGGGCGGACGGGGGGGTCTGGCTCGGGACTTGACCTCTGCCTCACGCGACTGCTTGCAACCGTGCGTCCTGTGGGTGAGACTCTACCTGCTCGAAACAGGCGCCAAAAACATCCAAGATCAATGAATAAGAAAACGATCACCACCTCCCTGCTCGACTGCTCGGGCTCGAAACCTTGACAAATCAGGACGGTCGACTAACTCCCGGGACCCGAAATGTCGGCCTGTGGAAGCCCGCTCCGAACCGCCAAAAACAATCTCGGTGCCACGTCGTCCAAGTCCCCTTTGCAACTCCGCCGTCTTGTCGAAGCGCTCTGGAACGCTTTGAAAGCCCGTTGGAACGCTCCGGAACTGGCTTTCTGTCGTCATAACCCCCTCCGAATCGACCTCGTCAGCCGCCCAGCCCGCCCCTCTTCCTGCTCCTGCCCCCCCCCCCGCGGAGGAGGAAGACTCAGCCAAATTAGGCCGTCAAACAATCAGGGATTCGGTCACGATAACTGTGGCGACCGACGCTTGCCCTACCCCCATGCTTCTCCTGAGCGACGGGCTTCAGCTTTGCGAGCCTTTCTTGAAGTGGGTGCCTACCCAGTCCACTTCCACATGGTAATTGACGGTGTGGGCTCCACTGATCCCCTCGCCGTGCCGCGCGAGGACGAAGAGGAGGAACAGGAGGAGGAGGAGGAAGAGGAGGAGGAGGCGAGGGGGTACAGGAGGAAGAACAAGAGGAGGAGGAGGAGGAGGAGGAGGAGGAGGAGGAGGAGGAGGAGGTGAAAGAGGAGGAGGAGGAGGAGGAGGAGGAGGAGGAGGAGCAGGCCTGTCAGCTCGACCGCCCCTCCAGCCGAATCTCCTGGCGTGTCCTGGGCGAGGAGGAGGAGAACGAGGGGGAGGACGAGGAGGAGGATACGGCACGGATGATGATGATGATGATGATGATGATGATGATGATGAGGAGGAGGAGGAGGAGGAGGAGGAGGAGGAGGAGGAGGAGGACAAGGACATCCGCATAAGGAGTAACGTCAGAGCGCCTACTCAGGCGATCTACGCGCGATTGCCAACATCTCCTGCGATTTGTTGTGCTACGGCCCTGCTTTCTCACTCGGGCGGGCCGGGGGCATGCCCCGTTGCTCAAGGACCAAGCTCCGAGGTGGCCCTGTAAGAGAGGCTCGCTACCTTACATCACGAGTCCCTCGGGCCAGCGCGGGGGGAGCACCTGCTGGCCTTTCCGCGCGCCCTAGGCACGGGGGGAGGAGACGACGACACGACGTCAAAAGGAGGAGAGGGGGGAGAGACGGAAGGCCTGATATTTTAAACCATTGCTGGGGGGGCTCCTACCTCTACAGTTTGAATTCCATGCTCCCCTCTCCCACTCGGCACTCTTCTCGGCCGTTCCGAGAGATGCTCCATGTGTTGACACATCTGTACTCTGGTACCCTGTGAGGTAGCCCAAGGTTCCCCGTCGGAGCGCGCGAGGTAGAGCGCGCTGGAAGTCACGGTCATAGGTAGGGCCAATGAGGGGCACACTGGTGGGCATCTTGATGATCACTTCTTTCTCCTGCCACACCCTGCTGATGTGCACCTGATGATACTCCAACCAATACTTCCCATTGCGATCGCGGTGCAGGCGCACTGTTGTGCCTATATTGGCTGTCATGAGTTGCGCTCCGAGAAACCTCGCTTATGCTCCTCCTGACCGTCTGTGGGCACGGCCAGCTCGCTCCTTGCCTAGATCAGCACTCCGAGAAACCCCGCTAATGTATCCTCTTGGCAATCTACAGGCTCCAATGGGTGCACTCACTGGTGGCCGCTTGAGCTGGCCGCCGCCGTCTCCTCCGCCTTGGGGTGGCCGAGCGTCTCCGCGAAGATCTTGGTGCCATCCAGCATGGTCTGTGTGCTGTGTTTTAGCTTCTGGCGCTCCGTCAGCCTCTTCACTTCCTATGAGTCCATTTTGTCCTCGTTCTCCATCTCCCCGGTGGCAACCTTCATGCCGCGCGGAGGTCCTCGTCGTCGTTCTTTGCAATCTTCGGCGCTAGCTCGCGCCAGCTCTGCACAGCGAAGGCTGTCTTCCCTGGCCCCCCAGTGGTCCACCAGGCACCTTGCGACGAGGCCGCAGCCTTCGGACTCGTGCGTCATCTGGAATGACAGTGGAGGCACATCGACTAGCTCCTCTGGGCTCATCTTCTTGACCGCGTCGAAGAACTCGTAGTGGCGCTCCTTGATGGCGTCGCCGAGTTGCTGCGATAGCATATCCGCAATAAACGCTTGCTACGCGCTTCCCACTTTGAGCGCCGCCGCCATCGATGGCTCGCTCTTGAGCGGGGCGAACATGCACCCGCGCCCGATCGCTGGCCATTTTTCGCAGTCTGGTCCGAACGTTTTCTTTATCTTGTTCACCCACTCTGCCGAGAGCACGCACTTTGGGTGGTTCCCCCGCGCCCTCGCCAGCTGCCATCAGCCCACCTTGCATCAGAACTGCCACTTGTCGGTCCTCGAGCGGGGACGGGGCCCTCTCCGCCACAGCTCGTTCGGGGCGGCGAGCCCGCGCGAGCGAGCTCCCCCCCTCTCATCGCCCCAGCCAGCGCCTCTCCTGCACGCGCTGAACAGCTGCATGTTGTCGCTCCACTTGTCCGCGAAGTCCAGTGCCTTGAGGTGCTCTGGCTGCTGCTCGCGCTTGTCCCTTGCCGTTTTGTAGTCGCCCATTTCGTGCGCCCCTCTTTCTTTCTCCTCCCACTCTTGCGTTGACACCTTCGGCGCCTCTACGTCATTGACGTCCATGGCCATGCACTTTTCGGGCAGGCTGTCACCTTCTTCTGCCAGGCAAAGAGCCTCCGTCATTCCCGCTCCTGATTTGCTGAAGGCTGCATCTTTTTCTCCATTCGATTTAATGATATCCAGCAGCGCCTTTGCCATCTCCTTTGATATCCCGATGGCTATCTTGTTTCTGGACGTGCGAGACTTTCTGTGGGCCTCCTTCTTCTGCCAGCTGTACTTGGGCAGCTCTGATCTGTCCGAGTACCTGGGCTGCCCGCGCTGCTCCTCTCACCGCCCTCATTTGTCGTGGGCAGACCTGCTCTCTCGCTGTTTACTTTTCTCCTCCATGCAGCGCCCTTTCTTCTTCGCCCCAATCTTCCCACCCCTCCCCCCTCAGCTCCAGCTCGAAATCGGCGCGCGCTCTTTTCCATTCGCTGCGCTTGCGACCTCCATCAGTTTCGTGCCCTGGTTCGTCTCTCGCATGATCTCTGCGGCTCTCGATCATCTCGTTGTGCTGGCACCCCTTGTTGCAGCGCCCACAGGGCCATAGTTGGCAGCCGGTCGTGAAGGCCATGGCCCACATATGCAACGCACTCCGCGAAACCCCGCCAGCGCGCCACACTGCTCGCCTAGGCCAGCGAGGAGCCACATCAGATGTGGCAGCCGAGGATGAGCGATGGGATGCGTAATCCCGAAAGCCCAACTGCCCCAATATGCAAGAAGGACTTCTGACATGCTGGCCCCATCCCCCCCCCCCCCCCCGCTGAGATAGCATTGAATTCCCAGCTGCCCTGCGCCCTCGCAGTGCCTCGCGCTCCGCCCCCCCCCCCCCCCCTGACCGCGACCCGCCTTCATTGTGATTATGCTGCGCTGCGCGCAAAGTGCCCCGCCCGCCGCCCCGCCGCATCTGCAATGGGCAGAGGGAGGGAGAAAACGCATCGCGACGTCTTTGTACATGGCGCTTCCTACTGATTGGGGGTTGGGCAGGCTGGATGTCGCCAGGCGGCGTATCCCCAAGCTGTTTCTCTGTAAGTCAGCTTCCCGTTCTGCTCGGAACGTCAGGGCTATTTCGTTCGCGCTACCATTCGGGGCGAAACGTCTGAGTTTGGTGCGGCGTTCTATGCCCATGCTGATCAATTCTGCTGTTCTTTCATTGACCGACAGGTCTGTTTTCCTCTTCTGAGCGATGTTGGGCACTCCAGCTATGCCCAATTGCCCTGGGAGGGGCTCTCCCGAAGCGGCCCCCCAATTTCATGATGCCGACGCCGACGTCGGCGCAGTGCTCGCGCTTGTCCGCGTCAGCCGCGGCCCGGCACTATGCCCTCAGGGAAAACCTCGCTAATGCAACCGCCCCTTCGGATATGTGGCGCAGCAATCCGAGAACGCCTCGCTAATGCCACCGCCCCCCCCGTTCTCGGCGACGCCGGCGCCGCAGCTCCCGCTCCGCAATCCTCTCCAGCTCCAACTCGGGCGCCGCCGACTGGAACTTCTTGCCTCCCGCGTATGCGACCAGCATCCCCATCGCCATCCTCCGGCTATGGCCTGCGCGCTGGCCCAGCTTCGCCGCGGTGCCGTCCCTCATTTTGTTCGGGAGCACCGCTCTGAAGCTCGGGGGATCGTTGATGCCGATCTGGGTCTTGCCTGAGCCCTCCCCCCGGGACTCCTCGCCCTCGTTCGGGTTCCCATTATTGTTGTCGCGCGCCTTGTAGCTCTCGCTGGGCTAGCGCATCTAGGTCGTCTCTGTGATCATTGCCTGGCTGTGCTCGCTGTAGCCCCCCATCAACTGCAGGAAATCGTTCGCTGTGTCCTTGGCCCATGGCTCTGTCTATTGATGCTGGTGCTGTCGTTTCGTCTTCCATCTGCCATTCCGACGCCGCCCCCTGCGTGCCTTTCATGAGCGCCATTCCCTCGCGCACCCCTGGCGGCCCCAACGCGTTGCTGATGTCCTTCTCCCAGACCTGGCACGCGTAGCTCTGCCCCGCTGCCGACGACTTCCGACGCGCTAAACTGCTGACTGGCACGGGGCAGAAGTCCGATACCATGTGGCTCGCATCTCTGATCTCCGCCGCCGAGCGGAGGGCCGATCCCTGAGGCCCGTTGATGCGCCCTCTAATGTCAAACTCCTCGTAGTCGTCCGCCGCGCATGACTGGCGGGCGGGTGGTCTGCGCCCTCTTCTTTCGCCGGTGCCGTTCCCCCCCATCGCCGCGGCCGCCGTCGTTGGCGGGCTGCCCGCTGCTTTGGCGCTGGTCCCAACTGCGCGCCGCTGGTCCTTCCCTTCCCCCTTGCCGCCCTCGCGGCGCTTCGGCTCTCCTTCCATCCCCGCGCATGCTCCTCGCCTGGGCAGTGCCAATCTCAGCGGTGTCATCGCCATCTTTCGCGCAGTGCGGTCCAGGATGGCGGCGGCGCGCATGCGTCTGATTGCCTTCCAGGGATTGGGCCTGGGAGCCGCAGGGGATGCAGGTGTGAGAGGGGGGCTCGCGCGCGGGGTGATTCCAGCAGCTGCTGGTTTTGTGACATATCCCGTGACTTTCCGTCGCCCATTGCACGGGCAGTCGCATTTTTTCTCTGCGCGGACGAGCTCTCGCACCAGGGACATTGATTCGTGATCGCCAGGCTGGGGATCAGAGGGCGACAATTGCGCGCCGCTCTCCCGCGCCCTGCCGGCGCCGCCCCCGCGGCAATTGCGCCCCGCGCGCCTGCCCCTCTGTTCCAAATTCCCAGCTGCCCCAAAACTGAGCCACCACCTCTCCGCCCGCCGTGGCCCCCGGCAACGCCGTGCGCACTGCTGCTGCAGCGCGACGCCAGCTGCTGGGGTCCGCCCCAATCCGGGCTTCCCAATACCTCGTGCCTCTCTTGAACATTGAGACATATGACTGCCACTTCGGGCGCCAGCTCCACGCGTCCTCGCTGGCCCCCGCTAGCGCCCGTAAGTCCCTGGCCACCTGCTCGGCCCAATGCGTAGAAGCTTCGAATATCCAGCAATTGTCCATTCCCTGGGCCTGACAGAGCCCGCCCAACTTCGACGTCAAAAACAGCCGTCAGCGCGTTGCCAAAACAATCTCTCCTGCGTATCCTTGATCTCCTGGTGGGCGCGGCCCCAATTCTCTCACCTCCCTCATCGGCGCGCCCGTGATCTTCCTCTCTCTCTCTGGAGCTGTCTTGTGGTCCCGTTGCGCCCTGGCCCTCGAAGAGCCACCAGGTGGTTGGTCTTGGCTGTGTCCAGGTTCCATCCACCTCTTTCCAGCTTGCTCTCTAAGCGCAGAGTGGTGGCGTTGACCTGCTCGGCGATCCTTGTCGCGTGGGCTCCTGGGCGATCCGAGATAACCTCGCTTCCGCCTAGAGCTGTTTGGGGCCGGGGGCCCGGGCGAGCAGAGAGATCCTCGCTTTCGCCAAACCCCGCCTGGCGTTCCGAGATTACCCCGCTAACTCCAGTTACAAGAAGGATCGGGCCCGACGAAACCACTGCGTGGGTCTTGGTGATTGACGTCACCCATGGACGCGTTGAGCGAGAGGTCGTGCTCCTGCTCGTTGACGGGGCCCGCTGTATCATGCAGCGTCTGCGTCTCGTCCCGCTCTCTTTCTCCCTGGTGCCACTGTCCTACTGCAAGTTGTAAGTCTCATTGAACTGTCGTGGGCACAAGGTCAAACCCATGTGTGCTCCTCCGTAGTCCTTACGCGCAACCAAGTGTCTGCGCATTCTACGCTCATAAGCGTGTAATGCAGCGCCTCGACCGAAAATGGAAAGTCCTCCTCTATAGTGCTCACTCCTGTTTGCCTTGCTCTCCACTGTGTAGCTCCGACGGAGGTAACCGCATTATCCCTCGATGTGTTTCTAAGCCCTCCCTGTGCCCAGCAGGGGTGCTTCGGTGTTTTTTCTTCTATAATGAACTAGCTGTGGAGCGCCATTCCCATTGAGCAGCATGCGCGCATGACTCTTTTCCCTCCAAGTGTTGTTCCTGATTGCCGTTCTCCGATGAACAAAAAAAGGACATATACCTGTGCCAATCCAAGGGTGTAGCTTGTGATTGGCGACGCTTGATTAGGATGTCCTCCAGCTTGTTCATGCGTACCATGTTTGCTTCTTTCTCCAACGCCGAAGACCCCAACCCAGCTTTCTCGTACCTCCCTACGTGGTACGCGTTCTTTTCTGTCGCCCTTGGTGCCTCACCGTCGTCCACTCTGTCTGCACTGTCCAACGCCCTGCCCTACCCATCTTCTGTAGTATAGACTTTCCTACTCTGCACTTGTAAGGCGTGCTGTTCTTGTCCAAGTCCTCCGAGTCATCTCGCTTCTCCGCCGCTCGTACTTTTTACTCCTCCAAGTTCCTGCTCAGTTGCTCAGAATCCTTCAATGTGGTTATGGGTTCTAGTACCATCCGTGTAAGTTCTCCTGGGACACCCCACGGGGGAAGGCTCCCCTTTTGGCCACTTTCTTGCAGCCCTCAGCGTGCCACTTTTGTCCCTCTCCACTGGAGCTTTCAACTCCATATCCAGTGGTAGAGGCATTAGTTTTGCTATCATTTCGTCGTGTTCCTTTTCGTACTCTTCCAGGTCCATCGGCTCGGCTGCCAGCCCCCCTACGTGGGGGTGTTTGCCCAGCTCTGTAAGCCACTCCTCTGTACTCCAGCAGGTCCGCGCTGAGAAATAATATCTCTTCTTGGGTCCTCTCCCAGTCCTATGATATTCCATCCTGAACCTGTGCATCTCGCTGAAGTTATTGATCTCTCGTATGCTCTCCATGTTTCCTCTGCCAGCTTCTCTTTCCTTGCCGGAGGCAGACGACGACGACGACGACGACCTCTCGGAGCAGTGGCGCAGGGCGAATCGAGTCAACGGCAACTCAGCATGCAAGTCAGAATCGGTCCCCCGACCCCTCCTGGGGTCCAAACGCACCCGTTTTCCGAGATGCGTCCACGTGTGGCGACGAGGGCCCCCCCCAAAAGCCAACTGCTTGTATCCCAACTCGCCCCTCCAATCGAGCCTCCCTGCGTGCCCTGAGCCGCCAGACCCAACATCCGGCGCTCCGGTGTTTTCCAATGCGTGGACCTCCAGAGGTCTGAACCACTTCTCCAGGGCCAGTGTTCCATCCTGCATCGCTTTTCACGGTCCCAGGGTCCGTTGAGGGTCCCCGGAGGCCGAAAACGGCCCAAGACTGGCCGCCCCCATTTTGTCGGGGCCTCGGTCTTCTGGGGCGGAGGACGGGGAGGCGGATGCTGACAGCGACCCCGCTGGCTGGCTGGCCTGAGCGTCCAGCTTGGCCCATATGCGTGCGGCCTTCTCGGGTCGGGCGAAAGGGGGGATAGCAAAGGGGGGATTTGAGAATCAGCTCGCGTAGCTGGCTTTCCCGGCGCTGGGAGGCGCCCATGCATCGAGGAATGGGCCCCTCGGTGGGGCCGAAACCAGCTGCATGCGGCAGGTTTCGTAACCCCGCCTTTCCCAATTCCCCCCTTTCGTCCGGCCCGAGCCTTCCACGGCAGGCCCCTCACGGCCTTCATCGCCTCGTACGGCCACTCGCCGCCGGCCTGCGGGGGGGCCGCCCCGCGCGCGGTGGCCGACGCCGTGTGCCGAGGGCGCCCTCGGCCGCGCGCCCCGGGGGGGGGGGCAGCGAGCCCCGAGAAGTGAAAGCCAGTCTCAACACAGTCAGGTGCTTCATAGAGATTCGGGTGCTTCACAACGATCCTCCTCCTCCTCCTCCTCCTCTTTCTCCTCCTCTTTCTCCTCCTCTTTGTCCTCCTCTTTCTCCTCCTCTTTGTCCTCCTCTTTCTCCTCCTCCTCCTCCTCCTCCTCCTCATCATCATCTTTCTCCTCCTCCTCCTCCTCCTCCTCTGAGCTCCCGAGGCCTGATCTGAAGGGGCCCTGGGACACACAAGTACACAGACACGGGTCCCCCATGATTGCCCACAGTTCCCCATCTTTGCTGGGTTTTCGTCTCCCCCCCCGCTTCCCACATTCTCCCACATGTCCCTGGGAAAGGACGGCGGTTCAATGTTCTGTGTGGTTTCCCCCTCCTGATGATCGCGTCGTTCGGAAAACTCACGGCCGGGAATCTTTGGCCACGTTCGGCCTCCGGGGGCCCTCGCTGGGCCACGGGGCCGTCAAAAAAGAACTCGGGATACAGAACCAGTCCCCTGGGAAAGGATCCCGACTCTCGGGGGCCGCTTAGTTGGTCAGGACGCCGCGTGCCTGGCTCCCGCTGGGGCGTGGCGCGTACTCTTCGAACGCCACTGGCGTCGACGCGCGAGCGGACGAGCATGTCGCTCTCGCCTCTGCGCCGCGCAGGCTTCGCCTGGAAGTGGCGCTCGGGCCTCGGCAAGGAACTCGCCATCGCTCGGACGTCCATTCCCTGTGTCTTTGTCGGTTATGTGCGTGGGTCTTTTCGCCAAATGATCAAGGATGCTCCTCGATGGTCCTCGCCGAGGGAAAAATGCACACGTCCGAGCGATGCCAAGAGTTGTTCCTCACTCGCCTGCTGTTTGGGCCCAGGCGAGCGGGCAGCTTGCCGACCTCACCCAGCTTTCTGCGCCCTTGGTCTCGGAGGTGGCGCTCCCGTGCGGGCGCGGCAGATGCCTCGTGCGCCACACCGCACGGCAGCGGCAGCGCGGCAGCGGGGCCGCGCGAGAGCTGGCGAGATGCTGAACTCGCCCGACCGCTGCGCAGGCTGTGAGCAGAAGTGGGATGCGGCTAGGGTGTCTTAACTGGATGGGCTCCGAGGACATCTGTCACTGAAGGCGGATAAGAGCAGATCCGCTCACAATCGGTCCCCGGACCCCTCCGGAGGTCCATCTGACGACTACCGGTCTCAACACTGGATTCGTGTTTGACGCTCGCTCGCGGGGCCCGAAAACAGCCTCCAGAGGTCCATAACGACATCAAACCTCCTCGAACCCAGCACCTCGAATCCACCCCCCAGCCTTCCTGCTCGCCAGAACCAGACCTGGGCCACCTCAAACCCTCGGCCGACTCCAATGCGAAATGCCGAGGTCGCGCAGGCGCCGCGCAGGCTGTGAGCGACAACAATGGCGCTGTGCCGGCGCGGCGCCTGCTTCGTCTTCGCCGCGCCCATCGCAAGTCGTGTGCCGCTCCCGCTCCTGCGCGCCCCGCGCCACTTTCTCGCCGCCAAATTTGCTGGCAGCGGGGCCGTGCGCGCAAGCGCCTTCCGCTCGCTGGGTGGGAACGTGCTCCAATCCTGGATGCCTCCCAAGTGAGCGACGAAAAGAAACTGGGCCTTGTGCACGATGCCGTTATTAGCGACCTCGCCGCAGCTTGCCCGGGCCGCCAGCGCAGCACGCCACACTGGAGACGAGGGCGCTCACGCGCGACCTGACGCAAGCAGCCCACTTCCGCGCGAATGGCGGCGCAGTCGAACCCGTTCTTTTGTTATGTCGCCGAAGGGGGTCCGAGTAAGTGGGATCTGAGGATGGCGCCGCATCGCCGATGCATCGGCGACGTCGGCGACGTATTAACGACGTCGGCCTGGAGAAAAGCGGGCTCCACATCGAGCCGCATCGCCGATGCATCGGCGATGAGGCTCAATCATGCGACCCCATCTACTCGGACCCCACCTGGGATGCTTGGACATCCCAAGATCTGGCTGTGCGAAATTGATTATTCTGCTCTGGGAAGAAGGGTGGGATTAGGGGGGGCCCTCTGACTCGCTCGGCTTGGCCAACTTGACCGATACTCCTACATACTCTTCCAATCGCAGGCGGCCTCCGACCGGCAAGCGCTGGACAGCTCAACCAGGCGCTCGAAGCTCTCCTCGATGTCGGGGATACCAGGGGTCGACCAAGCCAGCGTTTTGTGTTTTCGTCTCGTTCACTATTTGACTTGCCCAACACCGTGTCCTGCGCGCAGAATTGTAAACGTGAGGTGCCAGTGGTAGACGACAAAACGAGCACGAAGAGAAAACTAAACAGATCCACGAGATTGCCAAAACTTAGAGGCGGCCAGGGTCTGAATTGATTGAACTCGAGAAGTCTGTCAAGAAGAAACAATAAAAAACAATCCGCTCCCAATCTGTCCCTGGTCTACTCCCGGGGTCCATCTGGTCTGGTTTTTCAGCCTAGATTTTTTTGTTGGCGGTGCCACGGTCCGAAAACGGCTCCAGGAGGCCGAAAAAGGCAAACATCATCCTCGAGCCCAGAAGCTCGAACCTCGTCCCCGCTTTGATGTGCGCCTGAACCAATGCTGAGACACCTCCGACCCCAAACCAGCTCAACAAACAATCCAAACATCAACTTTCGGAGCTCCTCGCAAATTTCATGGATCGGCGCTGGACCGCGCGGAGCACGACAGGGGCGGCAGCAGCCCAACGCCGATTCAAGAAATCCGTGAGAAGCTCTGAGAACTTCAAGTTTACAGTCAAACTGCTGCAATATCGAAAGCCGAATTGCAAAATGACCCTGGCAAAAGACCCAACCATATGCAGTTGTGGGTGCCGTAATTGTGAGTATCGTCTCTGGTGGAACTCCCTATGGGGCCACGCACCGCGTGAGGGGTGCGCCGAAATGGAGGTGGAACTGCATGCGAACCCTGCCGCAGAAGCCTTCGGTGGAGCTCCCTATGGGGCCGCGAACCGTCTGAAGGGTGCGCCGAGATCAAGACGGAACTGCATGCGAACCCCGTCACTGTTGCCTTCGGTGGAGCTCCCTATGGGGCCGCGAACCGTCTGAGGGGTGCGCCGAGATCAAGACGGAACTGCATGCGAACCCCGTCACTGTGGCCTTCGGTGGAGCTCACTATGGGGCCACGAACCGTGTGAGGGGTGCGCCGAAATGAGGGTGGAACTGCATGCGAACCCTGCCGCTGGGGCCTTCGGTGGAACTCCCTATGGGGCCGCGAACCGTCTGAGGGGTGCGCCGAAATGAGGGTGGAACTGCATGCGCAACCTGCCCCTGGGGCCTTCGGTGGAACTCCCTATGGGGCCACGAACCGTGTGAGAGGGGCGCCGAAAGGAGGGTGGAACTGCATGCGATCCCTGCCACTGTGGCCTTCAGTGGAGCTCACTATGGGGCCACGAACCGTGTGAGGGGTGCGCCGGCGAACCCCGCCACTGGGGCCTTCGGTGGAGCTCCCTATGGGGCCACGAACTGTGTGAGAAGGCCGCCGAAATAAGGGTGGAACTGCATGCGAACCCTGCCACTGTGGCCTTTGGTGGAGCTCACTATGGGGCCACGAACCGTGTGAGGGGTGCGCCGAAACGACAATGAAACTACATGCGAACCCTGCCGCTGGGGCCTTCGGTGGAACTCCCTATGGGGCCACGAACCATGTGAGAGGGGCGCCGAAATGAGTGTGGAACTGCATGCGAACCCTGCCACTGTTGCCTTCGGTGGAGCTCACTATGGGGCCACGAACCGTGTGAGGGGTGCGCCGAAACGACAATGAAACTACATGCGAACCCTGCCGCTGGGGCCTTCGGTGGAGCTCCCTATGGGGCCACGAACCGTGTGAGAGGGGCGCCGAAATGAGTGTGGAACTGCATGCGAACCCTGCCACTGTTGCCTTCGGTGGAGCTCACTATGGGGCCACGAACCGTGTGAGAGGGGCGCCGAAATGAGAGTGGAACTGCATGCGAACCCTGCCACTGGGGCCTTCGGTGGAGCTCACTATGGGGCCACGAACTGTGTGAGAAGGGCACCGAAATGGGGGCGGAACTGCATGCGAACCCTGCCGCTGGGGCCTGCAGTGTAGCTCCATATGGGGCCACGAACCGTCTGAGGGGTGCGCCGAAATGAGAGTGGAACTGCATGCGAACCCTGCCACTGGGGCCTTCGGTGGAGCTCCCTATGGGGCCACGAACCGTGTGCGGGGTGTGCAGGAATGGGCGGAGGAGCGGGACTAAGGGAAGGGAGGAGGGGGCAGCGGGAGGAAGTGGAGGGAGGAGGAGGAGGAGGAGGTGGAGGAGGAACGCGGGGCGCTCTCTTCAAAATGAGGACCCAGGATGGTTGGACACAAAAACCATTGTGGGCACCGAGAGAGCACGGGTGCACGAGGATGAGCTAGAGGAACAGCCAAGGAATGGCCTCGGGAACAGCGAGCCCCTTCCGAACCCAAAGCGGTCCCAATGTCAGCGTCCTGGCTGTATGCCGGTTTCTGTTCATCAGTGCTCGGTCAACCCCTGACGGATGCTTCTGCCGTCGACGAAGGCCTCGAACGCGTCCTTGCCGCTCACCGGCGCCGCCTTTTGCCTCTCCTCCGAGGCCCCTGCGCCCTTGACGAGCCACGCGGCGAGGGCCCTCGACACCTTCGGGGGCGCGCCGGACCGGGTCAGGGGTCAGCGCTGAGACCGAGGGGGCAACGTGAGGGGGGGACGTCCGAAAGTTCGAGAGTCCAGATGTTTAAGGTCTTCGGGCGCTTTCGTGGGTTCTCCGCGGCACTCCAGCTCGGGATGCTCTCCAGCGGCTGTGCCTCTCGCCGAAGGCGTGCCAGGGCTGCCCAGACCGTGCCGAACAGCCGCGGGAGGCCAGAGTTATGACACCTAAGAACCACCATAGGACGGGCGCAGGGGGAGAAACGTCGAGCGTGAATCGGCGATACTTCGTCACTTCGCCGATGCTTCTGCGAGTGGCTCCCGATAGCCACTCCGCACGCTCCTGGGCAAGCTGGGGCGATCGGGCCCGTCTCGCCGATCAATGGGCGATTGGGGGGTCGATGCGTCCACCCCTGAGCCCATCACCCCGCAACATTGCCCCTGAGAGACCCGGGTCAGCGAGGGCCGCGTCCCGAAGCTGGGCTGACCATGAAGTCCAGCGGAGCTACACCAAACCCTGAGACCAGGGCGATGCGACCCCGCCAGCTCTTCGGGCGCAGGTGGTCTATTCTGGATCTCACAACAGCAAAGTGGGATGGCCTGATTTTCGGGAGGTCTGCTTTGAGCATCTTGGAGGGTTCCGCGGGCTAGGAGGCCACCCTTTCATGGCTGGTCTGGGGGGTCCAACACTGCTCGTCTGAGAGGGTCGTGACGCCCTCCCTTTGATTGGTGAGCATTTTCAAATTCGGCGGCTCGACATTGGGCGGACGAGAGGGAGGGGGTGTCTGGCTCTGGACCTCTGCTTAATGCGACTGTTTGCAACAAGGCGTCCATTATGGGGGAGGCTTCACCCGCTTGAAACAGGCGCCCAAAACAGCCAAGACCGACTCCTTGGGGGGGAGGGGGGGGTGTGAGGGCCCGCGCCGATCGGCAAAACACTGAATAAGAAAACGATCACTTAAGAAATGTGGAGCAGGGTGTTCCCTTTCCAGGTCCTCCCTTCCCCTATTCGGGCAGCTTTGCTTTCCCCCTCCTCCCTGGGTTTGGACGGGGAGGCGCGGGGGGTCAGAGCGCCCAAGACGGCCCCCAAGAGAGCGCCCAAGACGGCCCCAATAGAGCCGTAGCCCAAGAGGGCCGCCAAGATGGCTCAAGATATCTTGAAAGCGTTCAAGATAGCCTTCGACGTACCCTCCATAGGCTCCAACAAGACGCCCCCAAGGTGGTTGGAGACGCTCTCGGAGCCCTCCAAGGATCCTCCCCGCAGGTGCAACACCGATTGGAAATCAGCGTGCATTGCCTTCTTGCCTTTTCGCTCCCGTTGTGCCTCTTAGGCCTCAGGACGACCCCCGGATGGCCCAAGAGAGCCCTGGCCATCGCTCGGACGTCCACTCCCTTCTGCCTCTGTGGGTTCCGTGCGTGGCTGCTTCGCCAAATGATCAGGGATGCTCCTCGATGGTCCTAGGACAGGGCAGGACAGGACAGGACAGGAGCGGCGTGCGCGGAGGTGCGCCCTGTGCGGGCTGCCGCAAGCCCCCTCGCATTCCCGCACGCGCATTCTCACATGCTCGCACAGCACCTCGATTTCACATTATCAGATTCTCACATTCTCACATTCTAGTCAGTCCACCGTTTCAACGGCCTCCCAATAGATCTGCAACTCGATGGTCCTCGCCGAAGGAAAAAAAGGCGCACGTCCGAGCGATGCCAAGCTTGTTGTCAGCGCGCCCCCCCCTCGGAGGCCTGGGCCCCTCCCGAGGACGGCACTCTCCTCCCGAGGGCAGGGCAGCTTCTAATACATTTTTAATATTTGATAGGATTTCTAAGACATGATTAGTTGAATAAATTTATGCATGAACCCATCGTTGCTCTTAATACAAAGTCCCTGCATTTTAAATTAATACATGATCCGCACGCGGAACATGTATCAAAAACGGCACTGTAGTCTCTTCACCGTCCCGGGGCCCGGTGAGATCCCCACAGCAGGAGGCGGTCCACAACTCCCGTCGTGCTCTTCCCCAGCGCGAGGATGCCAGGGCGCCGCAGGGGCACAGCGCGGAAGACATCCCACCAGCTCTTTGGGGAAAAGTTTACCTCTCTAACCCCAGAGGGTCTTTCATGCTGCCCGTGCCCCCACCCCCCAAAAAACTCTCGGCTGTTGATGAAACTCGATCTTCGCCCCCTCGTCCTTCCCTCATCATCAGCATCTGGGATCGTCATCCCACCCGATCATCAGCGGTGGCCGCCGCGGGGAATGATTAGTTTGCCTTGTATCGTCAGGGGTCCCAATCCGTCATTAAGCCTGCATGACAGAACATACTGTCGATGTACTACCCTTGCGCAACACATGGCCAGAATAGCTGGGCAGACTGAAGTAAGGGGATAACGTGGCAAGGGACCACATGTTCTGCGAGCCTTACTTGGGAGGCTGGCGAGCTGCGCGACTCGCAGGGCACCGATCGACAGACAAAAGGGCTTGATGGCAGCACTGGAGCCCCAGGCTCGACGGGACAAGGGCGGCCACTTCGGGAGGGACGGCATACGGAGAGCCGAAGAGTCAGCGGAGCAGCAGAAGGCGACATTCGAAAGTGGCGATAATCTCGAAGATCGCAGCCCCACAGGGATGGTGAGGTAGAATCTGGGTCGGCGTATGACGTCACTGTGCTGGCCCCCAGCAGCCCTCGAGAGGCGACAGAGTCGCAGATCGCCCCGCCCCCCCCCCCCCAAAGGGATGGCGAGGTCTAATCTGAGTCTGCGTAGGGCGACACTGTGCTGTCACCCCCAGCAGCCCTCGAACGTGGCGACAGTTTCGCAGATCGCAGCCCACCAGTGATAGCGAGGTCGAATCTGACTCTGCGTAGGAGTAGTTCATCCCCCAGCAGCCCTCGAAAGTGGTGACGATTTCGCAAATCGCAGCCCCACAGGAATGGCGAGGTCTAATCTGAGTCTGCGTATGACTTTGATCCTTTGGGCCCCCCCCAGCAGCCCTTGAAAATGGCGACGGTTTAGCAAACCGCAGCCACCCAGGGATGGCGAGGTCTAATCTCTAGATCGGGGTAAGGCCCCACTATGCTGGACCCCCAATAGCCCTTGAACGTAGCGACCGTGTCGCACTTCGCAAACCCCCAAGGATAACGAGGGCGAATCCGAGTCGGCGTATGGCATCACTGTGCTGCCCCCCCCCCCCCAAACAGCACTCGAACGTGGCGACAGTTTCGAGCATGGCGAAGTCGAATCCGAATCCAGGTATGGCAGCACTGTGCTGGTCCACCCAGCAGCCCTCGAACGCGGAGACAGCATCGCAGATCGCAATCCCCCAGGGATGGCGAGGTCTAGTCTGAATGTGCGTGCGGCGTCATTGTGCTGGCCCCACCCGGTAGCCCTCCAAAGTGGCGACAGAGTCGCAGATCGCAGCCCCGAGGATAACGAGGTTTAATCGAAGCCTGGATATGGCGACACTGTGTTGTCACCCCCAGCAGCCATCGAACGTGGCGACAGTTTCGCAGATCGCAGCCCCCCAGGGATGGCGAGGTCTAATCTGAGTGCGCGTATGGCGCCACTGTGCTGGCTCTACCCAGTAGCCCTCGAAGGATGGCGAGGTCGAATCTGAGTCCGCGTATAACGTTACTATGCTGTCCGCTGCCAGCAGCCCTCGACAAATGCGACGGTGTCGCAGATTGCAGACCCCCAAGGATGGCGAGGTCTAGTCTGAGTTTGGGTATGGCGACGCTCTGCTGCACCACCCCAGATGCCCTCGAAAGTGGCGGCAGTTCCGCTGATCGCAGCCCCCCCTAGAGATGGCGAGATCTAATATGAGCCTGGGTATGGCGACACTGTGCTGCCCCCTCCAGCAGCACTCGAACGTGGCGACGCCTTCGCAGATCGCAGCCCCCCCCCGCCCAGGGATGGCGAGGTCCAGTCTGCTTCTGGGTATGGCGACACCGTGCTGCCCCTCTGTCCCCAGCAACCCTCCAAGGTGGCGACGGTTCCGCAAATCGCATCGCCCCCCAGGGATGGCGAGTCTGAGTCTGGGTACGGCGACACTGTACTGCCCCCTCCCCCCCCCGCCCCCAGCGGCCATCGAACGTGGCGACCGTTTCGCAGATCACAGCCCCCTGGGGATAGCGAGGTCTAGTATGAGTCTGCATAGGGCGGCACTCTGCTGTCACCCCCAGCAACCCTCGAACGTGGCGATAGTTTCGCAGTTCGCAGCCCCCCAGGGGGCGACACTTTGCTGCCCCCCCCAGCAGCCCTCGAAAGTGGCGACGATGTCGCAGATCGCAGCCCGCCCAGGGACGGCGAGGTCGAATCAATCCGGGTATGGCAGCAGTGTGCTGGCCCCCCCGGCAGCCCTCGATAGTGGCGACAGTTTCGCAGATCGCAGCCCCCCAGGGATGGCGAGGTCTAATCTGAGTCTGGCCTCGGCCGCTCCCAGACGCCTGGCGCTCCAATTTCTTTGATGCGTGGGCTCCTGGAGGTCTGCACCTCTACCCCAGAGGCTCCCAGATGGGGTCCGAGTAGGGGGTCGGAGGATCGCGCCGCATCGCTAATGCATCGCCAAGGTATCAGAGTTACATTTTTTTTACGAGGAGGAGATGGAGAACCGCCGCGAAGGTATCAGAGTTACATCGGCGATACATCAACGACATCGGTGATGCATGGGCGATGCATCGGCGACGTCGGCGGGAAAGAAACATCGGGCTCCTCACCGAGCCGCATCGCCGAAGCATCCGCGATGCGGCGCGACTCCCTGACCCCCTCTGCTCCGACCCCATCTGGGAGGCCTAGATTCCCTGGGGCTGGCTTCTCATCCCGAGTTGTTTCTTCACAGTCCATGGGCCCATTGAGGCCCCCAGGTGACACATCGACGCGGAGTCGGCGAGACCACGCCGATAGCTCGACGCTATGCCCCCGATAGAGCGAATCCCCGCGCTCCTGGGCGGGGAGGCCTATCAAACACCCCCGTCGGCGATCATCAAATGCACAATGGCGGGTCGATGCACACGATGCACGCCCAACGTTGCCCCTTGATCCTTGATCTTCAGGCCATGGCTCGGCCCACCGGCGGCAGCCGCTGGAGGCTGCCCCGAGGCTGGGAAACCGCCCAGAGCCGACGAAACCGTCCGAAAACCTCCCCCATGGGACACTGCCCTGCCTCCGCTCCGCTTGGTTCGGTGCGTGATCCCTGGAGGGCTGCACCACGTCCGCAGGGCGGGCTTTTCGTCCCGAGTTATTTTCTGACGGCCTTCGGGCCCGTCGAGGACTCCTCGGAAGCCAAAGACGGCCAAACACCGGCTGCTCAAATGTTATTCGGAGCCTCGGATCTCTGGGCTGAGCATCCCCTGGGACGCGGCAGGACATACTGGTACTGTGGGCCCTCCTTGGAGGCGTGCGCCCGAACCGAACACAAAGTACAACCATCTTGTAGTACTTCCTTTCCCGAGCGGCATGACCAGACGGCGCCCACCAGGGAGCTTGCACCTCATTCATGATTTCTCGGCACGGGCGTCGCCCCAGGGGGGCCGACGCACACGCAGAGTTAGTATGCTGGGGCGACGGCGATACCCCTCGAATCGGAGATCAACTACAGAGTTGGTTTACCCCCAAGCGAGTTGTTGCGTCTGGTCAACTCAAGAACAAAATGTTCGCCTATCCACGAACACTCTGCGCATTGTTTCAGATTCGACCAAAGAAACATTCTAGGGTCGGTCAGATCAGTAGTCGATCCCGAATTCGACCACCCCCCAAACGTTGCCACATAAAGGGTATGGACAAAAATGGGTATGGAAAAATTGGGTACGATGCCCAACAACAAACGTTGCGCAACACCGACAGCGGCCGCTGCCGGGCAAGACAAGGCCAGAGGCGGCACGGACGGCGAACCCTGCTCAAAAGGAACAAGAGCTGCTGCTGGGCATCGTACACCCTCCTTTCCGCACGGCAGGGTCGTACGGCGTCGGCACGCGCCAAGGTTTCTGACACCGCGTCGATCGCTCGCGGCCCCGATCGTTCAAGACTGAATTCCGTCGGTTCCTGTGGCGATACCGTCGTTCTATCGTGCGGAGTTCAACCTTGAGCGCCTTCGCCGGCGTCGCTGGCACGCCATCGCCGCGTGAACCACAGTGTGGACGCGGCCGCAAGAAAACCTCGCAAGAAATCCAGCCCTGAAAACCCGCGCGCGAGATGCACACGGGGGGGGAACCCAGAGCACCCAAAACGCAGCAGCTCCGTCCACGGCCGCTGGGAGTCAACGCGCAGCGCGTGGAGCGAAGACACCCAGGTCACCCTGGCGAAAAGCATATGGTCTCTTGATGCGCGTCCCCACTGTACCGCACTAGAGGCCTCCTAGATGTGCATGGGCATGGACATGGGCATGGACATGCTCGCCGCTCGTGACTTGTCGCCCCTCTTACGCCCCCTAGTCGCGCCGCATCGGCGATGCATCGGCGATGCGGCTCGATGTTGAGCCCGATGTTCTCCATGCCGACGTCACAAATGCATCGCCGGTGTCGCCTCGGCATCGCCGATGCATCGGCAAGGTATCGCCGATGCGGCGCGGTTCTCCGACCCCCTCTTCTCCGACCCCATTCACGGTTTCCCCCTGGCCATAGGCGACTCGAGGAGGGGAGGAGTAGGAGGAGTAGGAGGAGGAAGAGGAGGAGGACGGGTCGCCTGAGCCCTTCGGAGAAACCCTCCACGCCGCCACCTGGCAGGCCCAGACCGCACCCACTTCCGCCGTGCCGACGACGGCCTCGGCACTCCCCCCCGACGCCTCCGGGGACCTGCGGACCTGTGTCACATCCAGGCCCGGTCAAGCTAGGATGCTGCAGGATCCTCCACCCAGGCCCGGGTCAGTGCAACCACTGGCTCTGTACGATCCTGCTGGGCCCTGCACCCAAGCCCGGGCCGATGCGACCCTGGCCGCGCAGACTCCTGCAGGATCCAGGCGCTCTGGCGGACCCCCGTTTGCGTCGACCCCCGCCCCTTTGGGCCCCGACGCCTGCGACGTCATGCTGGCCCGGCGCTCGGCCGGCGGGCGCGCCCCCTGCAGCGGGAGGGGGCGCCCCGCCGCGCACGCCCGGCGCCCTCGCCCCAGCGCGGCCCCCCTTCCCCTGCAGCCCTGCCCCTCCCCCCCCGCTGGAGGAGGGCGTGGAGAGGGAGGAGGACGGGGAGGGGGAGGGAAAAGGCGGGGGGGACGAGGGAGGGAGGGAGGGAGGGAGGAGGGCGGAGGAGGAGGGCGGAGGGCGGAGGAGGAGGGCGGAGGAGGAGGGCGGAGGGCGGAGGGCGGAGGGCGGAGGGCGGAGGGCGGAGGGCGGAGGGCGGAGGGTGGAGGAGGAGGAGGAGGAGGAGGACACCTGCGAGGCGTGCCGGCTCGGAAAGGTCCCTCGAAAGACACGTTCTCCGATGATGTCTTCTTCGCCCGCTCCCCGATGAAGCAATTTAGCATTGTAGCACCCGAGAGCGGACTGTGGAGCTGTCCTTTGTCGTTCGCTTGTTGGTAAGCTGAGCGAAGTGCGCGTAGAAGGTTTGTCTGACTTGAGGGTCATGGCTCGGAGCACGCAATATATCAGGTGATGCCTTCGGCTAGCCATTGTGATTTTTGGGCGCTTACAGGGGGCGCCGAGTTGCAGCCCAGGTGTGCGATGTGGCATGGTGTTCCACCGTCGCGACGTTGGTGCAGAGTCTCTGTCGATTCTGGCGTTTTTTGTGGGTATGGCGGATATCTTCCAATGCGTTTTCGATTGGTGTATACTTTTCTGATACACCAATCCGCTGGGGCAAGTCTCGCGACTCATTGGTGGATATTTTGAGGGCAGATTTCTTAGCCCTGAAATCGCGCAGCGGTTTAGAGGGCAGGAAAATTTGAAGAGTAAGCGGTGCCACTCCCATCCTCGCCTAATGGCCTGGGATTCGCAGCAAATTGCACGAGGGTCGGGTCCTCCCGTGTGGGGGTTGCGGACTTGGCTCGCTCTTTTGGGTCTGCTCACACGCCGTGTCGTGCGGGCGGTTGTCGTCCGCCTGTTTGTCTGTCTGTCGGTCGGTCGGTCCGTCCAGCTCTCTGTCTGTCTGTCGTCTGTCTGTCGGGACCTCGTTCTGCGTGCCGCGGGTGTCTGCTGGCACCGCGGTGTGTGCGAGGTCTTCGGGTGTCTCCCTGAGGCGCCGTGGACGCGTGCGGTGGTGTTTTTCCCGCCCACCTGCCCTGTGTTGCGCTCCGCTGGCTGGACGTCCCGAGGCTTTGTCTCTCGCAAGATGGCGCCAGCCAGCTGCACGTGTTCAGTCGTGCCCAATGTCCGTGCGGGAGCGCACGCAGCTAAGTGTTGCGACAAAGAATTTTCCGGCCCGCGCTGTCAAGGCCCACTCGTCTTTTCAGAGCCGCTTCGGGGTGCCGTGCCCCGCTGCTTTTCACGACGTATCTGTAGGATCCCGTGCGCAGTGCAGCGCGTTTCGCCTTCGTCCTACCTCGCCCTGCCGTAGACAGCCTGCCTGTGCTGGCACCTTGAAAAGTCCAGATCCGCATGAATGTGGCGCGTGCATTCTTGCATTGTTCCAGCGAAACGCCGAACCGGATATACTTCATCCTCTCAATGGCCGCTATGGGGGGCGTATGCGGAAATGAGCGTCAACACGCCGCCAACGACTTTGACCCTGAGCAGCGCCATTCTTGGCGAAATTGCTTCGAACGCGACCACAGCAGAACACACCCATGGAGATACGACAAAACCTACTCCTGCAACATCGGATCTGGATTCCATGTTAGCCTCTCCGGAAAAACAATAAAGAAAACCACCTCTTGTAAAATAAGAGGCCCCGTATACATGTGTTTCTTGAATACAACAAATGTCAATTATGCATGCTTCCATGATGTTTGCAATCTCTGTCTTCGTAACAACTGAATCCCCGCGCATGCCTTCCACGTTCAATGTGCCAAGGCGTATCGACTTGATTGGTAGGCACGTCGTCCTGGATCTCCCCCAAGGCCCTGGCAACCTCCTTGGCTGGAAAAACGTTGGCGTCGAATCAGACGATGCCTGCGCCGATAGTCTGGCAGGCTGGCGTCCCGAGAACTGGTTGGCAAGAAAGCGGTGTCGAAGGAGTTAGGGAGGGAGTTGACAGTGAAGAAACAATGGAGAAAGTACCATGCATGTGGCCTTGTATATTTCCCCATGCCTGCTGTAGAAGATGTGCGTGACTCCGTGGGTATGATCATATCGGCAGCTTTGCCCTGGATACGTCCATCACCATCGGACTCAAGCGAATAAAAATGAGGTAGTCCATCTGCGAAGGCTCCGGTGTCTGGTCGGACTAGGCCTGACTCCGGCCCTGATTCCTACTTGCCTTTCGACTTCCCTTTCATCTCATGCTGGGCTTTGGCAACTACGGCGTCGCACTTGTCGGACAGCTCCCCGTAACCGCAAGCTCACCTCCCACGTGCACCTCGTAGGGCAAGCTGTCCGACACATTGATTTTGTATGGTTTGTTGAGAATGTCTTTCAATCTGTACTTCTATCCCAAACATTTTACTTCCGCCGCACTGTGCATCGTTACTCTCGGGTGCGCACTTTTTACTTCCAGCGCCTTCCGCCGCACTGCTGCTGGCTTCCGCCGTTGGAGGCAACCTCGTTCTATTTCCGCCGCCCTTCCGCCGAGGAGACGACAGCCCCTTCGATCCTCGAAGGCAAGGCCTTTTCTGGAATGCCTCCCATCCTGCTGACTTTCTTGGAAATGGGGGGCAAGAGGCACTTAGGAGCGCGCTCCACAAATTACTCGCACAGCAACTGCTCGCAAATGGCCTCGATCCGCCGCGGGGGATTTACAGTCAACCCACATCGTGAGGATGGGCAACCTTCCCCAGGAAACCCATGCATCCTTGCCTCCTCGGTCCATCCTGGGACACATTCGTCGGCCGCGCCCCGCTCGAGAAGCTTCGACATGGGCGTCCGAGGCCCTTGTATCCTTTTCGCGCATCCTCATGACACGGGCCGGCTGCACGATATATATATATATATATATATATATGACATCGCGGCAAACACATCATTATCTTTCGGACATTTGCGAGTCGTGGTGCGCGCTCGGTGGATGCAGGGCAGAGGCTCAGGTCGGGCATGCCCTCCTGCCGGCGGATCTTCGACGGAAAATAAAACAGACTCAAAACATACTCAAAAATCGTCCGACGACTATTTTGTAACTCTCTTGGAGTTTTCCTCCTCTGGCGGTGCGCACAAGGGGGTGGAGGGAGGGGGGGGGGCAGGACTTCTTAGCAGGAGGATGTGCTTCTCGTTAGAGGGCGCCGGCCTTACATCTACACTTAATAAAGCCCGCGCCTTCTAAGAAGCAGGGGTGCTTCTAAGAAGCCCTCCCCCCTCCCCCCACCCCCCTCTCGGGCCATCGCTCGGACGTTCATTCCCCATGTTCTTCTCGGTTTCGTGCGTTCTTTTTTCCTCCAAGTGATTAAGGATGC